CATACTACTACATTCACTACAGTGAAGTGTGGCTAGCATGTCTAAGGGACTGCAATTTTGTTTTGATTTAATTTGAGTTAAATAAAATATGAGCCGCACACGTGACCGGGGCCTGCCGACTTGGATATGCGGTTGGGATGGTGCTGCCTGTTTTGTTCCCTTGTTTGGTTAATAACATCAGCCACCTAACGGAGCACCTACTGTGTGCCAGGTATCTCCTAGGGGCTCTAGGTCTGTGATCTCACTTAATCCTCCGAGCCAGCTGGCATTGCTCCATGTGACAGCCGGAGAAACTGAGACCCAGACAGGCAGACTGGCTCTGCATCGGTCAGTTCCCAAGACTGCTCCCTGGGAGGCCGCTGGTCTCACGCTGTCTCTCAGGGGGGTCCTCGCACTGTCCGGCCTCTGCTGTCATGTGACAGCTTCTCACAGGCTCTCCTGGTCCCCAGCCAGGTCCTGCCTTTCCTCCCTGGGGTGTCAGTGTGGCTCAGGAAGGGCTGTCGCGGGCCACCACAGGGAAGGCAGCAAGGGCTCGGCCAGGCATGGTGGGTTTCTGGCCGGGGTCCCAGCCTGTGCTGCCTGGGTCCTGCCTGTGGGCTGCCCTCCAGCCCCTGCAAGCTCCCTCCTGGAGAAAGGAGCTGTTCAAACTTTCCCACAATCCTCCTGGTCTAGGGCCCTCCCTGTGGGGCGGGACAGGTGGGTCCCCCTGGGCAGGTGAGGAGCCACGGGAACTCTAGGCTGTGCTGCCCTCTCCCTGCCCTGGGAGACTCCTTCTTCCTTGCTCCTGTCCCCTGCTCTCTCTCGATCTCTTTTTTTTTTTTTTTTTTTTTTTTTTTTGACAGGCAGAGTTAGAGAGAGAGACAGAAAGGTCTTCCTTCTGTTGGTTCACCCCCCAAATGGTCGCCACGGCCGGCGTGCTGTGCCGATTGAAGCCAGGAGCCAGGTGCTTCCTCCTGGTCTCCCATGTGGGTGCAGGACCCAAGCCCTTGGGCCATCCTCCACTGCCTTCCCGGGCCACAGCAGAGAGCTGGCCTGGAAGAGGAGCAACCAGGACAGAATCCGGCACCTCGACCGGGACTAGAACCTGGGGCCCCGACTGGGACTAGAACCTGGGGTGCCGGCACCGCAGGCGGAGGATTAGCTAGTAAGCCACAGCACTGGCCCCCTGCTCTCTTGATTTATTGCTTTCCACTTCTGCAGACAAAGCCCTGGCTCCGTAGCCCCTTATCAGAGTCAGGTCGGCTGGTGGGGAGGAGAGGGGATAGGAGGGATGGGGCCGCCCGGCCCAGGTGTCCCAAGGGAAAGGCTTGGAGACTGAGCTGTGTCCTGCCTCCTTCCTCACTGCCCAACATATAGGCAGAGCCAGCAGCAGGTGCCTTCCTGTGCCCATCACCAGATCCTGGCCTCCCTGCCTCACACAGCCATGCAGCCCTACTGTGTGCAACACGGGCGCAGGCCGGGGCTGCTTGGATATGACTGCCCCACTCCCCGACACCCAGGCAGGGGTCATGGGACTCGCATTCCTGACAAGTCCCCCAGCCCTGTCACCCATGGGCGTCACCTGGGAAACGCTAGTGGCTTGGGAAGCCTGAATTCAGATCATCCCTGACTCATGGTGCTCTGCCCCTCCCCCCTGGAACTGAGGAGCTCAGGCTGGGTGACAGCCAGGGTCCGGGGAGCCAAGGAGACACGGGCGCCGTCTGGCGCGCGATGGGCCCGCCCTGCCCCCCTGCAGCCTCAGGGCCAGGGCGGCTTGCGTTGCAGTGCCTCCTTTGTTGTGTCCCGCTCAGGGCACCGTGACCTCCCACCTGGGTCTGGTGGACGTGTGCACTGTTGGCTGAACGAGGCATCACTTCCTGCCACTGCTGTGTCGCCGAACGGCTTGACTCTCCCAAACGGCCGCGTGGGGAGCTGGGAGGCAGAGAGGGCTCTTGGTCTAGCCTCGTTCCCCGCCCCCTCCACCGCCATAGACACTGGCTCAGTGAAATTCCTTCCTGTGGGGTGGGCTGGGGTGCGGTCGCTGCTCTCTGCAGGACCCAGAACAGATCTGCTGAGCAAGGAATGAAGAGAGCCGCTTTCCGTGACCTCGCGTGGACTCAGGAGGGGACAGCTGGGCTGTGTCAGCCTCTGCAGCCAGGGGCTGGAAGTCAGCTCATGCTGGAGCGAGGCGGGTAATTAATGATTGCCCTGCCCTCTTACCCGGGATCCTTCCCATGTTGCCGGCCGGGCGAGGGGAGTGGGCTGGAGCCTGGTTTCTCTGCTTCTGTCTGGCTCCCAACTCTTGGGGGGAGCTTGATAGCGGGAAAATGTGGGGCTGGAGCCACACTCCCCCTCCCGTGGTTCCCTTTTCCCTGGGCAGGGAGCAAACCCAGAGCGCACAGCTCCACGAGCAAGGCGCATGCAGGGCTGGGGGAGCTGGCTGGCCCCACTCTCCATGTGAGGTCTGGGGAAGGGGGAGGGGACCCTCTCCCAACCCCTGCTGGCCCCTGGGCTGTGTATTGGCAACTGGAAGAGGCGGCCAAATCCACCAAGCGGAGGCTGGCTGCGCCGGGAATGGCGGCCAATAGTTTTGTAGCCAGAAGGATCACTGGTCTGGGCTTGGGAGGCCCCCTGGTCCAGCGTTCAAACTACCTGGGACCATGGTGAGGTAGGGAGGTCCTGGGTGCACGAGGGCCTTGGTGGAGTAGCCCCCGACCGACCAGCACGGATGGACCACGGTGGTTTAGTAACTGGCTCGGCTCCGCTGCCTCTCCACCCGGGTTATCGTCAGTTTTCAGAGGACAGGTGGGATTCTCTAAGGCAAAAGAAGATGAGATCAGGGTAGAAGTCGGCGTGCAGTTCCGCTGGGTGGCAGTCCTCTCTCCCTCCCTCTCCCTCTCCCTCTCCCTCTCCCTCTCCCTCTCCCTCTCCCTCTCCCTCTCCCTCTCCCTCTCCCTCTCCCTCTCCCTCTCCTTCTCCTTCTCCCTTCCCCTCCCTCTCCCTCTCTCCCTCCCTCCTCCTCTCCCCTCCTCCTCCCCCTCCTCCCCTCCCCCTCCCTTCTCTCTCCCTCTCTCTTCCTCTCTCCTGCCCTCCCTCCCCCTCACCCTCTCCCTCACCCTCACCTTTGTTGCCCTGACTGAAGAGTACACCTTGGCCCTGCGGCCTCAGGAGTTATCCTCTGGTCTCTTTAGAGGCCGGCCAGGCCCAGGGCAGGGCTGGGGACAAAGCAGCAAGGGACGGGGCAGGATGGCCACATGGCAGAGCCAGGGGCCCAGGTCCGCCCGCCGGTGTGAGATTCTCCCCTTGAACATGGCGTTTGCTCTGCTTCCTCCGAGGCCGAGCTGAGCACACGGATGGAATTCCCCTGGGATTCCACAGCTGGCCCTAGGGGACGTGGAGAATGGGTTCTGGCTGTGGTGGGGTGGGGGCTGCCAGTGTGGGTGGAGTTAAGCAGAATGGGGGTAGCTTGGTCTCCTCTCCCGGGATGGGCCTTGCATCTGAGGGTGTTCCCACCTCCCTGGGGGAAGGCAGCTGCTTCTTGCCTTTTGGGAGACAGTGGTGGCATCAGAGGAGCAAGTGGGAGGAGACAGGGCCGCCCAGGCTGGGTCCCCGCACCTGCTGAGCCGGTGCTTTGCTCTGCAGGTAGCACATGGAGGAGAGCAGTGCTGCTCAGAGGGGCAGCGGGGCCTGGTCCCCACTAACCCCTTCTTCACGTGGCAGCAACAGGGGGAAAGCAGCGGGCTGCCGTGGGGAGAGGCCGGTGGGGAGCCAGCTCTCGCTCCCAGAGACAGTGGGGGCGCTTCGGGGGTCGGGCGGGGCAGGGCGCTCAGAGATGGGAACCGAGGTGGTCTCAATTGGGACAGGATTGCTGGAGCAGATTCAGGACTTGGAAAGTCACAGGGACATCTGGGGGGAGGCACGGAGCAGAAGCCAGACGCCCCCTCCTCTCCCTCCTCCCCCTCCTCCTGGAATTTGCTGGGGGATATGGAGGAAGTGGGAGCGGTGGGCCAGGGGCAGGCTCCCTCCCACTCCCCTCACCACCCCCTCTCCATCTGAGGAGCTGCAAAGCCGGAAGCCAAGGTGTCTGGGTGGGGAAGCTGGACCAGGCTACTTCTTTGTGCACAGATTCATGGGAGTGTGGACATGATGCAGCCTGACACAGGACGGTACCCCAAGAGGAGCCCCCGAAAGTGGGAGCAGTGCAGTGCGCCTCTCTGGCTGTTCCTGTTTGTGACGGGGGCTCTGGGTGTCCGGCCTGGAGGTGCGTGTGCACACTTGCGTGCCTGCCAGGGGTCCCCCGGACCCGGTCCGTGTTGCTGTGATGTGCCCGCTCTGGGCATCACTAGGCTGGGGCTGGGGGGCGGGGGAGGGACTGAAACTGCCTCTTGAACTACAGCAAAGGCCCAGGGATGGGGAGGTGTGGCTCTCCCCTTTGCCATTTCGTGGTCTCGGCACTTGTGGCTTGTCTGCCCCAGCCCTGGCCCATGCCCACGCTCCTCACATCTGGGACCTCGTGCTTTGCAGTCCCTAACTCCTGCAGCTGGTGGATTTCTTGGTCTGTTTTTAAGCAGAACATCATTGCCATGATCCCTTACGCACAAAATGTGTCACAGCTTGGAAGTTTACAGCTATTATCTCATAGAATGAGAGGGTATCTCACTGGTGCCTGAGAAAATGAAAGGCCAGAGAAGTCATTTTGCTAATTCATGCTGGATCCTGGCCTGGAAGCCTGGCCCTGCGGAATTCTCTCCCCGCCGATGGCACTGTCTCAGGGCCACGCGCGCAGGTGGCTGTGGGTGAGTGACGGCCGCTGGTGCTTAGGGATGCACTTGCCTTTACCACACAGCCCTTGACTGCGTGAGACGCTCCCTTCCCTTGGGTGGGGATGGAGAGGTCCAGGTGGGCCTGTGCTCATTCGCCCCCGACATCCCAAAAGGAAGGAAAGAGGAGCGAGAAGACAGATGACCCCTGCTTGCTTCCTTTTTTAATTCAAAACTTTATTTATTTATTTACGTTTGTTTATTTGAAAGAAGGCTCCCATCTGCTGGTTTGTTCCTTAAATGCCTGCTACGGCTGGGGCTGGGCCAGGCTGAAGCTAGGAGCTGGGAACACTCCGGATCCTCCGTGTGTGAGGCAGCATGCAAGTACCCGAGCCATCACTGCTGCCTCCCGGGGTGCACGCTGGCAGGAAGCTGGAGCCAGGAGAACAGCTGAGGCGCAACCCCAGGCCCTGCCCCCAGGGATGCAGGTGTCTTGAGTGCATCTGAACTATTGCACCACACGCCCGCCCTGGTTTCCCGTTTCAGTGCTCCGTGCCTGGTGACTTGATGTCTCACCTAAAAGGAGAATCTGCAAGTTCAGCGGTGAAGGAGAAGCCGGCCCGGCCTTCCGTGCGCTGACCTAACCCTGGCCGGCCCTGAGCTGTCTGAGCGCGAGCCCTGCCTTCTCCAGGCTTGGGAGAACTCACTTGTGAGTTAAGCAAAGACCACGGGAGGCCCTGTGCTCCGCATGGAGAGAAAAGGGGTATATTCTGCCTTCCAGAGGAAGGCCCCCCTCCTCCTCCTCCTGTGCCCATGGACTTCGTTTTTCTCCCCGCCTGATGAGGGTGGATCAAGGCCAAGCTGCGTGTTCAGGGGGAGCTGGGTAGGGATGCGAGCGAGGGGCAGAGATGGAGCTTCTCTCGGGAGCGGAAGTAATTAATTCTGAGAGGGCGGAGGTGGGAAGCCCTTGGTAACACAACGTGGAACGCCGAGTGCGGGTGGCTGCAAAAGAAACCCCAGCGTGCAGAGCTGCCCTCCTTCACTCGTTCACTTGTCACTGAGCCGGAACTCCTTGAGCACCTACTGTGTACAGGCAGGAGCCATCAGGAGAGGGCTCAGCAGCTGGGTCAGGGACAGGAAGGGGGGCAGCGTCCTGGCACCAGGGACCCCCTCAGTGGCTGAGGGTGGCGGCGACTCGGGTGGAAGCTTTAGCTGTTTCAATAGCAGCAGCTGTCGGCCCTGGGTACACGCGACCCGCGCGTTTCAGCATGGGTTAAATACGATGTTGTCCGTGTGCCCTGCCATTAGCTGGTTGCATTGTTCCCTGCTCAAGTTCTGTCCTCAGCAGGGAGAATGAGATCAGCCCCTCCCTTGCGGTGTCTGTTGTGAGATCACGGAATCGCCCTGGCAACAGACTGTGATGTCAGCACCGTGCCTGGCGCTGCTGGTCACAAAGGAATCTGTCGTGTGCAGACAGAAGGGGACCGCCCGGGAAGGCGGGGAACCGAAATCTGATCTCAGAAAGAACATCTTGGCAGCGCGAGGTGACAGCGGGCCCAGCGCCTGCTTGGCTTGAACACTTTGCAAACAACCCCAAGCCTTCACGAGGACTGTGGGGAGAGCAGCCTTGCTCCGAGGCAGGAGTGAGCGAGCATCTGAGCGAGAGGCCCCGCAGTGCCAGGATCCGAAGGCCCAGAGGGCATTGGGAAAGGGGAAGATGTGACCCCCATGACCCCTGAATTCGGCTCTCCCTGCCCCCGAGCGGACCGGCTGGGATGCATCATGTGGCGTCCGGGAAGATTTTCAGCACTAATCACGCTGCCCCCTCCCTCTGCAGCCCCAGTCGCTGCCCTCGTCCTTGCACGCACAGGCAGGGAGATTTCTTCCATTTTGTCCAAGCGGAGAAACCCAGGCCTCGCCACCAGCTCTGGCTCCGCCGCATCCATGCCTGCTGGCTGGACTCGTCCCCCATCAGCCGGGCCACCTGGTGCCGTGTCCGAGGGGCACGTCGGGGGCACGGTCACGGTTGCTTCCTTCATGATTGCCCCTGCCGGGCAGGAGGAGGCTGGGCAGGCTGAGGAGAGACGGGAGACCTGCTTGTTAATCTTGGCTTCCCAGCAGCGGCAGCAGCAAGGACAGCAAAGGACCCCGGCGCTCCCTCTAAGCCCTGCACCCGCACGCTCTAAAGGCTCCTGGAGAAGCTTCGTGGCGTTGGGCTGAGCGCCCGAGTCCGGGGCTGGGAGCCGGGAGCAGGCAGCCGCGCGCTATCTGCCTGCAGGTCGGGCTGGCGGGAGTTTGTGCGTGCAGATGGGGACACAGCCGCGTGCGCCTCCGCCCACCCAGCCACTCCATGTCCTTAGCGCAGTGAGGTCGGACTACCTGGAAGTGGTACACCTGCTCTGAGGCTGCCTGTGTCTCCTTCAGCATCTTCTCCTTGGGAACCTGACCTGGGAGGATTCCATCCCCTCTCTGCTCCACTCTGGCCGCCGGTATCTGATCAGCGGTGTTCCGGCTGAATGCTCGGGGAGCCACAGGCCCCCTCGGGTACCTGGGCAACCCTCACCTCCACCCAGGGAGAGCCCCCTGTCCCTTCTCCAGCGCCAGAGCCCAGAGCCAGGAGGGGGAGCCGAGAGTCTGTGCCGCCGACTGCCCTGCCTCTCTGCCACAGCGTTGCCGGTTGAGCCGGAGGACTGACTTCTCAGAGGGATGGTAGGAGCAGGGCGGCTGGCGGGTCCTCCGAGGCTGCCGGACTGGGGGCAGAGCTGCCAAAAGGATGCTCAAGTTTCGGGCGGATCGCCGGGTCAGGTAGGGACCTCCCCCGAGGACCGTGAGTGCCGTGAAGTCCGAGAGGCCACACTGCAGGCACTCGGTCCTGTGGGGACCCGGGCACTTGGTGGCGTGGGGCCTGCCTACCTGACCCGGGCAGGGAGCTCCGGCTGCTGCATTGCAGTGTTGGGAAGGGGCAGTTGTGTGGAAATCGGTGTCGGCAGATGGAGAGAGGACGGCATTTGGAGGAGGTGCCGGGTAGGGGAGTCTGGGGCAGGGAGAAACGTGTCATGCCCTGAGAGACTGACATGGTGGGCAGCGGGCTGTGTGTGCGCGCGCGCAGGCACCGTGTGCATGTGCCAGCAGGGGAGCCTCCAGCAGAGGTGCCCCCGGAACGTGGGGAACAGACGAGGACTAGAGAGGCCGGGCGGGGTGGGGTGGGGAGCAGGTGCTCTGCGCCACTGGCAAGAAGCAGAGACTGTGGCACCTCAAGGACTTTCTTGTCACAGACTGCCTGTCCCCAGGCCCCGAGACAGGAGGCGAAGGTAACTGGAAGCTCCAAGATGCCCTGTGATTGCGTGGTTGGACCTGGGAGGGAGGTGGGGACAAGGGTTGGGGGTGGGGAGGAGCGGCTTGTCCACACACTGGAGGTAGAACCCAGGCCTGGTGGACTCCGCTGACTCTGGGGTCCCGGCTGGCGAGCCCGGGAGGCAGAGCGCACAGGTTCCTGCCGCAGGGCTGAGGCCGCCGCTGTCCCCTGCACTGTCTCTTGATTAGGTCTGGGCATGACCAGCTTGGGAGCTGGAAAAACACCCTTTGATTTTATCTTTAGCTTCAGCAGGCGGCCCCGGGGCTGGGCTGTTACGGAAAGAGGGAGCCCAAAGGTTACTTTACTTCTCCCATGCAGTCGGAGGCAGCAGCCACGCTCTCTGGCCGGGGTGGCCCCTGCTGGGGGTGGGCTTCCGCAGTCCCTGTCCCCGTGCCTGCTTCTCAGCCCACTGGAGCTGGCCCTGGCTCTCCCAGGGCTTTTCAAGAGGGCTGGGGGGAGAAGGTCGCCAAAGACACCAAGCCCCTGTCCCATGCTCGAAGCTCCACTCTTCCAGGTGGTCCTTGCTCTGCAGACTCCGCCCAGATGGCTGCTGTGTGCGGCTCTGACCAGTCTCCGCGCACCAGCCACCGCCAGCTCTGCCTGCCTGCCTCCCTCTTCCCCCCAGCCCACCCCGTCTCCCCTGTCTCCCCCGACAGCCCACCCGGGAGTCTGCCTGACATTCAGCCAGCCTGAAGAGTCACAGCAGGGCTTCCCCAGGGAGCTTGGCATTAGGCTCCCCATCTGCCCCTGCACGCCCCGCCCCCTCCTGCTTCCTGCAGACGTGCCCACTGAACCCCACCCCAGCCCTGCCACAGCATCACTTAATTAGATCTGGCTGTTGAGCCGGCACTGACCTTGATGCCTGGCAGCTCGTGGGCTCCCGGGGACAGCAAGTAGCCCTTGGACAGGAGGCTCTGGGCTCAGCAGTGTGTGGCTGGGTCCCAGCTCGGCCGAGGAACGGCATTGCTGGGTCTCCCACTTCACGGAAGGGAGGAGATGGAGAATGAAGCAAGAAAGGAGGAGTCCAAGGTCACACGAGAATTCTTTCCAGCAAATAACCAGGGAGCGTTTTTTACGTGCAGCCCAGGCAGGCGCGGTCGCCTGCCGTGCACCAAATTTTGTGCCCTCTCCCACGCAACACCTAGGGAGACCACTGGGAGGGCTGGGGGGCTCCAGTATGGAGTGAACACCGACTCATGGGATGTGAGCAGATCTCGTGTCGTCTTGCACCACCCCCAGCACAGGCTGCCCCCTGCTGACCCCGCGGGAGGACACCTGTCTCTGTGTAGTCTCTGTCTTCCTCCTTGTTAACACAACGTATCTCCTTTGCCTCTGCAGCCACAATGAGAGACAGAACACATTTCTGCACCCAGTGACCGGCCAGGTCCCGGAAGAAAACAAAAAATTTGACTTGAAAACGTGAGTTTTCCCCAGCTCTGCCGCGTGGCCTCCCCGTCCCGTGGTCCCTGCCCCCTTTGGATGGGGAGGAGAGGCAGAGGGGAGGCAGGAGCAGGTGGACGCCCAGGCTGAGGCTTCACAGCTTGGGGACCCCTCTGGCCCCTCCACTTTTCCCTCCACTTTTCCTGGGATCTGGCAGCGGGCAGCTGGGTGCACCGCCACGGAGCTGAGGTTGGCAGAGCACCTGGGGCCTCTGCGGGAGGCACGGAGGGAAGCCAGTAGGATTAGGATCCCCTGGGTCCCCTGGCCGTGTGTCCCTGGCTCACAGAGGAAAGGAAAAAAGAGAGAGGGTTCACAAGTCTGCTCTCCCGGGCCCCTGGGCCGCTGTGGCCTTTAAACCTGAAGGGAATGGAGTTCCAGAGCCCCAGGGTCTAGGGTTGAGAAATAAACGTGCAGAAAAGAAAGAGGGGGGTCAGGAGTTGAGCCCCCGCCAGCGGGAGACGCTGGCCATCGAGCGCCGTGGTTAGAGTCCCGGCTACAGCTCGCCGCTCCCGCTGCCTGCTGGCGCAGACCCTAGGAGGCAGCCGGGATGGCTCAAATCGCTGGCATCCTGGTCCGGCTTGAGCTTCTGGTTTCTGACTTCCACCCAGCCTGGCCCTGGCTGTTGTGGGCATTTGGGGAGTGAACCAGCAGATGAGAGGAGTTGGCGGGGGGGCGGGGCACAAGGAGAGTATCAGAACTGCTGGCATAGAACCTCTTGATGGAATTGGGCCTAGCTTTGTGCTGAAGCTGCGATGGGGGGAGGGGCTGGGGGGCAGGGAGGGGACGGGTACTTCCCACTGTTTCTGACCGATGTCTTTCTTCCATTCAACTTGCAATCAGCTCGGCCTTGGACATGTCCAATAAAGCAGGCGGGAAACGCCCAGGTACCAGTGACAGTGACATATCCAACCACACCATGGTGTCCGAGGTCCCTCCAGAGCGGCCCAGTGTCCGGGTGAGTCCAGCCCTGCCAGATGGGAAATTCTACCCGTGCCTGTTCAGTGCGACGTCGGGGCATCCTAGGCTGCCCGGCTACTTCTGTAGGCTCCAGTGAGCAGGTGCGGTGACCCAGGGACAGAGTGGGAAGTGGGGAGATAACAGGGCTCACACCAGAACCTTGCAGGCCAGTGTCTAGGCCAGGGCCTCTGGACCTCTGCTCTGGTAGCTCTGAGGCCGGGTACTTCTTTGTGGTGTGTGTCCCGCAGCACCCCAACCTCTCTCTACCTCCCTGCTGCCGGCTCCACCTTGCCTCCAGCTCTGCCAGCCCGGATGTCTCCAGACACTGCCCCTGGAGAGAAAATCCCCACACCCCCACTGAGAACCACTGATAGCAGAGCAGGGAGCTGGAGAGGGAGGAGCAAGGCAGAGACCCCCACCCCGCCGCCCTCCGGGGAAAGTCTCGGTACACAGCAGCAATCAGGCTGAGAGTATCCTGTGGGCGTAGCACCAGTGACCTGAGCCGCAGAAGTGGTGTGAGGAGGGCCAGAGATGAGGCCCAGGGGGTTACAGAGGGGACCATGGGGATGGGGGAGGGAGCAGAACACTGAAAAGGAAGCTACTGAGAAACCCGGCAGGAGAGGGTGGGTGTGGGGGGTGGACTTTGGTGCAGCTTTTAAGATGCTGTTGAGACACCTGCATCCCCTGTGGGAGTGTCCAGGTTCGAGTCCCCGCTCTGCCTCCAATTCCAGCTTCCTGCTAACGTGCACCCTGGAAGGCAGGAGGCGATGGCTCACGTCCTTGGGTCCCTGCTACCCATATAGAGACCTGGGTTGAGTTGTGTGCTCCTGGCTCCATCCATTTCGGCATTTAGGGAGTGAACCAGTGGATGGCAGATATCTGTCTGTCTGTCTGTCTGTGTCTGTCTCTCTCCGCCTTTCAAATAAGTAAAAAGTTTTTAAAATAAATTAGCAGGATAGTCAAGCAAGGGGGTGCCCTCCAAAAATTAAAATGGACTAGAACTGTATGTCTTAGCAGGGGTGAAATCTTGGAAACATAATATTGAGTAGGAAGCAAGTTGCAGAATATGAAAAACATATCACCCCTTATGTAAAATGTGTATTTATAGAAACATCTGTACACGTGTACACAGACAGGAGGCCTCATTTTGGGTCAGCAGTTGCCTCTGGGGAGGAGGAAAAGGGAATGGGATTGGGGAGAAGCTCAAAGGCAGCCTGAGCTCCTTTGCCTCGTTTTATTAGGGAGAGAATAGCCCCAAGTGAGCAGTGTACGGGGTCCGCCTCTTCTGAAACGTTTGCAGTATTTCCAAACAGTTGTTAAAGGTGCTTGACTGACTGTGAAGCGGAGAGGGAGCCGGGGGACGGAGGCTGGAAGATGCGTCAGATGGAGGGAGGTTTTGTGGGTGGGTTAGTTTTGTTCTGTCTCTAGGGGTCAGAGGTGAAAGGCACGACCCGCAGATGGGCTCAGGAGAAAGGGGCTGGCCGCTAAGTCCCATCCTCCGGAGACAGAGGGGCTGGAGTCTGCGCTGCTGCCTGGCGGGGGTGGGGGAGCCTCTTCCTGACACTGGGAGGGAGCAGGTGGCCAGGATGCCAGCGTCAGAGGGGCTGGTCTGAGTCCTGGTTCCGCCCCCACTCCAGCTTCCCCCTGATGCAGACTCTGGGAGGCAGTGGCGATGACTCAAGTGACGGAGCTCCTGACACCCACGTGGGAGACCTGAGTCTGGGAGTGAGCCAGCAGACGGAGTCTCCTTTTTGTCTGTCTGTCTGTGCATCCATCTTTCTGCCACTAGAACCATAGGTAGCGGGAATGTGAAACCGAGGGATGGATGCCTGATGTCCCAGCTTTCCCAGGACAGTAGGAGGTGGGCTTTTCTGGGGAGAGGAGCGGGTGTGTGTGAGGATGTGTGTGTAGGCTCGGGGAACAGGATCCCCCAGGGACGCCTGCGACCTCGTGCTGTGACTGCGGATCTGCAGGTCCCACCCGCAGCTCCCGTGGCTCTCCGCCTGCGGTGCGCATGGCAGAGAGAGGAGAGGCCAGGGTACCGAGGGGCAGCCGGAGAATGGCTGCAGGGTCCACTCTGGCGAGCAGCTTCTAGGCCATGGGGAGAGCACTTGCAACTTCGACAGCTAGGGCTCTGGGAGGAGAGGGCGGGATTTAGGGATTTGCATATTCTAAGCATGGTGGGTGACTTCAGATGGAGAATCTTGGTCTTTGTCTGGGGGGTTTTACTAGTTGTGTTGAGAAAATGATTCCATTTCCCTCTCGCAGGGGTACTTGGTAAGAAAAGGCGCTTCCTTCCTCCGTTCCTTCTGCACGTGTGTGTTAAGTGCTTGCTACACTGAACTCCTAGCTGGCTCTGGTGACAGAGATGAGCAAAACAAAAGTCCCCGTCAGTGAGGAGCTGGTGGTGCAGAGGAGGGGCCGGGGCCCGCAGTGGCCCTGCAAGGTGACTGGGGGCTGCCAACTGCTTGGGGTCTGCACTTGACTGGTTTTTTCTTTCTTTTAAAGATTTTTATTAATTTATTTGTAAGTCAGAGTTAGAGAGGGGAGAGGGAGAGAGAGGTCTTCCATCTGCTGATTCACTCCCCAGATGGCTACAACAGCCAGGGCTGGGCCAGGAGCTTCTTCTGGGTCTCCCACATGGGTGCAAGGGCCCAAGCACTTGGGCGGTCTTCTACTGCTTTCCCAGGCCATCAGCAGGGAGTTGGATTGAAAGGACTCAAACCAGTGCCCATGTGGGATGCTGGAGCTGCAGGCAGTGGCTTAGCTCACCGCACCACAGTGCTGGCCCCTGCACTTGGCTTGCACTTGACTTGAAACGATGAGTTCAGTTGTCAGTGGACAAAGGAGAATGAGAAGTGCCCCCCACCCTCCCCCATGGGGGAGCAAAGGCGTAGGAGGGTAGGCGAGAGCCAGAGGGGGCCCTGTCTGCTGGGGAGGCAGCGGGTGGGGCACAGACTGCCCCCGTGTGCCGTGCTGGACGGCCTGGGCTCTCCGCGAAGTGATGATAGCTAGTAAGAATTGTAGGCAAGAGAGCAGCATGATTATGTCATGTTTTAGAGAAAGGAGCGTGGCTCGTTACAGAGGACAGAAAGCCAGAAGAGATGAGGATCCGCAAGATGACAACAGGGAGCTTGAGAGGAGGGAACAGATTTGCGAAGGATTAAGGAGAGGGACTTGGAGTTGGCAGTCAGCCTGGCCGTGAAGACGCTGGTTGAGACAGCTGCATCTCACGCGTCTGTCAGAGGGCCTGCCTTCACACCCTGGCTCGCGCTCCTCACTCCAGCTTCCTGCTAACGCAGTGGTGGGGGCAGAAGCACGTGCCTTCCTGCCACCCACGTGGGAGACCTAGACTGCATTCCCCATTCCTGGCCCGGCTCAGGGTGTTTCTGGGGAGTGAACCTCTGGATGGAGTCACTCTCTCTCCTTTCCCTTCCTCTCTCCCCTCTTGCCCCCTCTCTGTCTCTCGAATAAGGGAATAAAAAACTTTTTTAAAGAAGCTAGACAGAGGCTGGCATTGTGGTACAGTGCGTTAAGCTGCTGCCTGTGATGTTGGCATCCCATTTGGAGTGCCGGTTTGAGTCCCAGCTCCTCCGTTTCCCATCCAGCTCCCTGCTAGTGCACCTGGGAAGGCAGCAGAGGACAGCCCAAGTACCTGGGCCCTGCACCCACGTCGGAGACCTGCATGGAGCTCCTGGCCCTGGCTTCAATTTGGCCCAGACCTGGCTGTGTGGCCATTTGGGGAGTGAACCAATGGATAGATACACTCTGTGTCCCTCTCTCTCTCTGTCTCTGTCTCTGTCTCTATCTCTATCTATCTCTATCTCTACTATCTCTATCTCTCTCTGTGTATGTATCTATCTGTCTCTCTCTCTCTCTTGTTCTACCTTTCATATAAATAAATATTTTTTAAAAATATTGAAAAAGTAAAAGAAGACAGACTCATTGGCTTTGCATCAGGGTCTAAAGGGGCAGGGGAGGGAGGGGCGGCGTGAGGCACTAAGCCCTGTGAGGGAGGCCGGGGCCACAGCACGCACCAGGAGGAGACAATCCAGAGCAACAGGTCTGGTTAGAAAGGGAGTGTGTTTGCTTTTGCATTTATGGTCCTGGTCAGACAACCTGTTATACAACGGATTGGAGTTAGGAGAGGCCTTAGGTTTTGCTTAGGGAATTGTTATCATCTTGCTGGTGACGCAGTGGGTGCACACGAGACCACACGGGCGCTGGCTATGATGAGAAGTTCAGGAGTAAAATAACGAAGATGTGGCTGAGCACCACCAGGACGTAGAGCAGCACAGAGAGAGGCTGTGGAGTAGCCACGGCAGAGGTATTGAGAGGAAAGCAAGAGGAGAGCTCCAGCGCCAGGCTTGTGGTGCAGTGGGTTAAGCCACTGCTAGGGATGCCTGCATCCCAAGTCAGAGAACCTGGTTCGAGTCCCACCCCCACTTCAGATCCAGCTTCCTGCTACTCTTCCTGCGAGGCAGCCAATGTGCTTGGCCCAAGTGTTTGGGGCCCTGCCACTCACGTGGGAGGCCTGGATTGAGTTCTGGGCTCCTGGCTGCAGCCTGGCCAGCATTTGAGGAGTGAACCAGTGGATGGATGCTGTCTCTCTCTATCCCCATCTCTTGCTCACCCCCAGTCTCCAACTGTCACTGTATCTTTCAAATTTTAAAATTTTAATTTTAAAAAGAACTCTAAGACAGTTCATGTGGGCCAGTGTTTATAGTGACCAAGGACAAGTGGCCTTGATTCGATGACATTGAAGAGCCACCACAGAAAAGGGCTGGAGGCAGTTTGGGGGCCATGGGAGGAAAGGATTTGGGCCTCTTCCCAGGTGCCTGACCCTGGCCCAGCAGGGAAGGTGCTGCCCCACAGCGGACGGGGTGTGGGCTGGGGGGCCTCGGGGGGGTGCGTCTTGGAGCATCAGAGAGACAGGGAGTTTGCTGCGAGGAGGAAACCAGGGGAGAGGCTCTGGGGCCCCGGTGGTGGTCGGGAGGGCTGGCCTGGGAAAGGAGGTACTCCTCCCCCCAGACCTCAGAGTGAAGAGACAGCGCCAGGAGTGAGGGCAGCCGTGACCCAGGCACAGCCTGTGAGGTTAGAGTGTGCACGTCTGACAGCCTTGGGTTTCTCTGTGGACGAGCCAGGGCCGCTGTGGGGAGGGTGGAGTCGAGGGTTGGAGGGCTGTGGGGCACGTGATGGGCAGAGCTGGTGTCTGGGCCCACTGGGGTGGCCTCTGCTGCATTGTGGGGGAGTTTCTCTGGCTGGGAGTGCAGGGAGGGGATCATCTGATTAGTTTAGGACAGGCTGGGGTCCTCGTGTGAAGCCCAGCATACTTCAGAATCCAAAGTTTCATGTCACCGCTCAAAAAGCTCGGAACTATGGCGCATTTTGGATTTTCACATTAGGGTGGTCAACTGCTAAGTCTATGCAGGTGTTCCAGATCCAGAACATTCTAAATGCCGAAACCCTCCAGCCCCAGGCATTCTGGGTAAGGGATGTGCCTGGGTGGGGTTTCAGTGAAGATGAGACAGGAGGACAAGGGCGGGGATTTTTGAGAGTCTGGTTGGTGTCCTCCACTGCCAGCCCTGTTCTTTATGGGGGAATTGCTGAAGCCAGGAGGAAACTGATGTACCCAGACCAAAAGGGGAGAGCCGAGGAGCTGGGGATCGGATGCACTTGGTAGTGGGGCAGGAAAGCCCAAAGGGCGGGCTTGGGTCCAGGAAATGGGAATTCTCGAATTGAAATGTTGGTGGGGAAAGAGCTGGCAAGGCTAAGGTGCAGCCTGGGAGTGAGTGACTGGAGCGAAGGTGGCAGATGCTGGATTTGGGGAGGTCAAGGCAGTTTGGAGTTAAGACATTGGAAGGTTCATCCTCTGGAGCAGTGAAATTCTCCACCATGATTTCAAGACCTTCGACAAAGAGGAGGGGCAGGCATCGGGGTGCAGCAGGTTAAGCCGCCGCCTGCCACACCAGCATCTCATTTTGGAGCACTGGTTTGAGTCCCAGCTGCTCCCCTTCCAATCCAGCTTCCTACTAATGTGCCTGGGAAGGCAGCAGATGATGGTCCAAGGACTTGAGTCCCTGCATGCATGTGGGAAACCAGAGTAAATTTGCAGGCTCTTGGCTTCAGCCTGGCTCAGACCTGCCTGTTGCAGCCATCTGGGGAGTGAACAAACAGATAGAAGACCTCTCTCTCTCCCTCTCTCATTCTGCCTCCCAAATAAATAAATAAATCTTTTTTAAAAATTAAATAACTAGACATGAAAGAAAGAGCCAAATAATTGCACCTGGGCTCTTCGCAGAGGGCACTCCAAGGTCAGCCCTTGGGAGAGACAGCGCCTGGTGGGGGTCACTCCCTTGCAGATGGAACAGAAAGGAGAGGGGGATGTCAGGCCAACTTCTCTCTCTGCCTTCCCAGGCCACTCGGACGTCCCGCAAAGCCATCGCCTTTGGCAAGCGCTCACACTCCATGAAGAGGAACCCCAATGCACCTGTCACCAAGGCAGGCTGGCTCTTCAAACAGGTGGGGATGCCCTGCCCCTCTGCCCACCGTCACCACCACGTCCTCCTCTCAGCATCATGCCGTTCTGTGCACTGATTGGCGTGTGCCCCCATCGTCCCTGCGAATGCACTTCCTCATTTTAGAACAGCTCAGAGCAGCTGAGTGCCTTCCCGAAGTCACACAGAAAACTGAAGCTGGGAGCGCAGCGGGTTTGCTCATGCGCAGACGCCTCCGTCACAGCAGCCCGCCATCTCCTCAGCGGGTCCCTCTGGCCGTGGTGGGGGTGTCTCCGTCAAGTCTAGGGTCTACCTGCCCCCCGGCCCCCTGGTTGACCTCGCTGCTGTCCCTGCCTGCCCTCTGTTTGCTTGCTCGCTGGGGCTCATGTCTCATCACATTCGCCTTCCTCTGGGAGGCGCTGAGCCCCAGCGTGACAGGAGTGGAAAGTCACAGGCAATTATCTGATGTCGGTTGCGGCATCTGAAGTCTCAAGGGGCTGCCGCCGCGTGCCAGCAGGGGCGCTGAGCTAGGCGCTGGATGTCCTCACGGTGAGCACAGAGCTCGCTCTGCTTCACCCCGTCCTGCCCAGCTTACAGCCCCTCCCTGTGTCCTACAGGCCAGCTCCGGGGTCAGGCAGTGGAACAAGCGCTGGTTCGTCCTGGTGGACCGCTGCCTCTTCTACTACAAAGGTGAGCTTGCCCTTGGGGCTGTCTTTGTCTGCCGTGCCTCAGGGCTCTGCATGGATGGACGGGGCAGGGCAGGAGTCCCCACTGTAGTCTCTCGAATTGGGGATAGGGGGTGGGGGCGTAGCTGTAGGGTAAGGACAAATCTTCATCATTAATTCACACACTGACTCACGCGATCACTCAGTTCACATTCACCAGTGGTTCCTGAGCGCCCGCTAGGTTTCAGGCAGAGCTGGAGGTCCAGGTTGGTGATCTAGTGGCCCAGGAAGGCAGTGCTATGGACAGTGAAGTCCCGGAGAGGGTATGAGAGGGAGGCAAAGACAAGAAGAGGTGACCAGTTCCCACTAGTAGTCACCTCCCTGCCAGTTTCCCCCTCACCCTCGAGTGCGGGGCCCAATCCACGAAGGCAGGGATTTGGTCAGTTGTGTTCCCTGCTGTATGCATCCCACCTCACAGCGCACAGCACATAGTAGGTGTTCCACTGATTCTGCGTGAACAGACAGCCCCAGCCCTGCCCTCTCTGCCCTCCCCAGTGCTCACTCCCTCCCTCTCAAAAAGGAGGGCAAAGGCCTTGTAGCTTTGGTGCAGCCGAGGTTATTTTTAAAATATATTCAGCTACTTTGTGTCGAGGCAGTGCCAGGGTGGGGAGCAAGGGTTGAAGGCAGGACTGGTGAGGCTGGGAGCAGACAGGCCTGGCCGAGAGGCTGGTTCCTCGCTTCCTTGCCCTAAATGGCAGAGCCTCCTGGCAACAATTTGGTAAATTATTAACTCTGGCAAACAAAGGTTGTACCCAGTGACTCCCAGAGCCTGCTGTGCCTGGGCCATCTGAATCCCGAGGAGAGCGATCCAGACAGGCTGTGTAAACCGGGCCCCCAGCGTGGATGGGCGCGCTGGAGCCAGAGCGGGGGCGGAACGGGGAGAAAAGCCAGGGTCTTACAGGGAGAGATGTCAGGACTGGCAGTGGGGGTAGACCCTTAGAGAGCTGAGACCCACAGGGGTGAGACATGCTGGAACAGGGGTCACTCCCGCTGTCGGGGTCTCGGGACGTCCCCTGGCTGAGCCCGCTGTCTGTCGCTCTAGGAGTCATGAGGCTGGGTCATTTGTAACAGAAGGAGGTTCACCTTGGCTCCTCGCTGGGGAGGCTGGGACCTCCAGGAGCACGGCACTGGCTTCCTTCGGCTTCCAGTGAGGGCCCCAGGCTGCTTCTGCTCCAGGCAGGAAGTGGAGGCACAACCAGGGCGACCAACTTTTTAACAACCCGGCCAGGCCCTCGAGAATGAGCCCGCACTGGTGAGAAGGGCATCTGTCCCTCTGACCTCATCGCCTCCTCGAGACCCGGGCACTGCTCAGCACCATGACGCTGGGAATCAGATTTCAACCTCAGCTTTGCTTGAGCCTGGACAAACCACAGCCACCCTGAACACTGGCCTGCATCCCACCTGGCAGAGGGCTCTGTTTCTGCCAGGGAGTGACAGCTTCGGCTTTCCCAGAGACAGCCCTGGGCTCCCTGCTCCTCTGGCTTGCCCTTGCTCCAGGCAGCTGGGCTGAGGTCTGGACAGAGAAGCTGAACCGTGAACTTGATGAGGAAGAGCAACAGAGCTCGAGGAGGTTATAACTTACCCCGCCGCGATGTCTTCTGACCCCTAACTGAAACTCACAGTCCCCAGCCTGGGGAGTAATTAGCAATCCCGGAAAGGGGAAGGGTCTCACCGCAGCCTCGCGGTTGCCCCTGTGTTCCGCAGAGCAGCCCCATCCTTTCTGGCCTCCCGCTGGCAGCCTGGGGCCCGGCTGGCTAATCCACCAGGCTCTTGGGAGACCCAGGATGAATCACAGGGCGACACAGCTCTTAGCCTGGTCCTGGCGCGCCCAGGCCCAGGGGCTCCATACAGGGGCTCATTTTCCGGCGGAGACATGGAGACTGTGGCAGGGATCCTGCACGGGGAGGGCAAGGCAGGATGCTGGGCACCAGGGAGGACCTCAGGAAGTTACCCAGAGTCCGAGCCCTGGAGAAGGGACCGCCCGCTCTACCCTGCTCTGTCCTAGCACCTGGTGACGGCTGTTGGAACTGTATCACTTGGGGGGGGGGGTGCACAAGCACACTGGCTTTGCAGTCACACTTCTTGGGTTGAGACCTGTTCCATCACCCACTGCTTAACCTCCTTGCGTCTCCAACTTGCCTACCTATGAAATCGGGGTGATGCTACAACGTCTTTATTAGAACAGCGGCTGCCATGCAGGGGACACCCCCCAAGTGCTGGTTACTGACTTGCTTGTTTGTGTGCTAGAATGCAGATGCCCCTGTGGGCGGGCACTGCTTCCGTGTCCCGTTGTCTGGCGCCTCCTCTGCAGGGCCACCATGCTCCCACCTCCCAGGAGTGTGCACCTGGTGCTGTGCGGGGTGGCCCTGGTGCCCCGCTAAGTAGTGGGCGAGGAGGCTGATGGGTGTGCACACACACACCTCCTGGTGCCTCTGCTTCCTCCCAGATGAGAAGGAAGAGAGCATCCTGGGCAGCATCCCCCTCCTGAGCTTCCGGGTCGCCGCCGTGCAGCCCTCGGACAACATCAGCCGGAAGCACACGTTTAAGGTCAGCGGCCCTCCACTCCCCGCCGCGGGGGGGGGGGGGGGGGACACAGGATGGACAAGGACCAGGAGCATCTCCCTGAGGAACCCCACGGGTGGTGGCCCAGGGGACAGCAGGCAGTGGGAGTAGGCTAGAAGGGGGCTCCCGCAGGGCTCCTCTCCCTGTGGGGGTCCGACGAGTGAGTCTCCCCGGGATGGGACAGCCGCGTGGGCTTCGGTGGTACCCGCGTTTTTCCTGGAGGAGAAAGGTTTGTGTTTTGAGCCCTTGGACCTCTTGCCCAGTGGCCGACCCATGGGAAGCACCTGTCTGCAGAAGCAGGAGCTGTGGCCGCGGGGGTTCTGGGGCCATTTCTGCAAAGATGCTTCCCCCTCACCACCATGGTCCCAGGCAGCAGGAGCCGCTGTCCAAGTCCTGGGCAAACATACTCAGACCTCAGTGTTTAGAGAAATGAGCCGAGTCTGGTTACCGCCCAGAGCCACAGGCCTCCTGTAGACAGCAGCTTGGGAGAAGAAGTGCCCGGGAAAGTGGGCCTCGGTGCCACGCCCGCGGAGCCCCCGGGGAGCGCCTGTCAGAGCGCGGCTCCTCCTCAGCAGTGTTTTTCCACGTTTAAAAATGCATGACCCATTAAAAACTATAAAAATCCCATGACCTTTTGGTGTTCTATGATGCAAACACCATAGGTTCTTCTTCACTTCCCAAATATAAAATCCTCCTGTCGGCTGTGTGGGTTCTGAGTACAAAGCCTTCCCTCCCCCAGATGGGAGTCGCTGCCCACCCCCTAAAGACCCAAACCTGCAGGCCACCCCAGGCCGTTCCTGAGCCCCTCAGGCCCCTTCCTTCCTGCAGTCCTGCTCACCTGGCTCTTGAAAACAGGTGGGCAGCGCACACAGGGCCTGGCCCGGGGACGAGGGGACGTCTTTGGCACTACATTTGTTCCCCCCTCCTGGGGTCCTGTCCCCAGAGGTATGAGCAGAATGGTCAACAGGGAGCCGGGTCCTAGCTGGGGAAACAGGAACAGGCTGTTGAACCAACAACAAACAGCCCTGCTACGCACACACCCACGCACAAGCAAGCCGCCTGTCTGGCCCTCCCCTCCAGACCTGTGCAGAGACACAGGCGCTCCGGCTCGGAGCCCTGCCAGCAGCAGGCATCAGATAAGCGTCCCAGAGTGACTGACACCCAGCCCCACTGCAAACCCCCAGCCCACCCTCTGCTTCACCCCCAGCGGGCTCTGCTTCTCCAAGGCCCCCTCCAAAGAGTTCTGACTGTAGCTATTCAGGGATTCTTCCCCAGGGTGGGGGGAGGGGGACAGACAGACAGGAGGCTTGTCCCGCTGTGGCCACCAGGCACAGCTCTTGGACGGCAGATAATGAGGAGCCAGGCCCTGTCCCTGCCCAGGCCGCAGCTGAATGCCTTAACCTCTTCCTAACCCAGCGGGCCCTCCCCGCTGGGACCCCTCCCTCCATTCTCCGGGCCCCTTTGATGGTTCCAGCTCTGCGCTCACTCGCCATCAATAGCCCTGTCTTTTCCCAGGCCCTCTGCGTTCCCCCGTGCCCGTGCCTGCGCTGGCGCCTTGTTCCCTGTGGCAGGTTTTGTCCCCCAGCGTGACTGGGAACTCTTCAAGGCCGAGGGAGGGCGCGTCTTTGCCTTCCTTGGGCCTGGGGCCCCAGCAAGCGCCGTGCACATGGCCACTCCCTGGGTGCTCACTGAATTGATGAATTCATTGGCTGCCCAGTCCTCTGCACAATAGCCCTGCATTCTCCACCCTGGGCCTGCTGGGCCCCCACCCTCCCATCCTGTGCCGGTTCAAGCCCCCTGCTGCTCCTTAGCGCCCCGCCCCGCCCTCGCCCACAGTCCTGGGCTCTGCCCACACGCTGGGCACCATATGCAGCCGGGGCAGGGGCTCCAGGGCGGGCCGCCTACTCTGGCCTGTCAGAGAGAGCTCTGGGAAGGAGCCCTGGCAAGAGGCGTGGGCTTGACGTTGCTGTCAGGAGAGCCCTGGGGGCTGCTCACAGGAGCCCTGGCCCCTCTCTTGCCAAATCCCCAGAGACCCAGGTTCCTGCCTCCAAGGGGGTCAGAGGCTGGAGGGAGGCTCCCTTCTGAGACCCCGACTCACCCTTGATCTCTCAGTCCAGTCAGATAAACCAGGCCAGCTGCTTTTCTCACAGACTGGAGGGTCCCACCTGGGAGGATGCTGACTTTCCAGAAAGAATCCAATCCCATGGCCTCTTGTCCTTGTGGCCTGGAGTTTCACCAGGCAGACCCCTCCCCACTAAGGAGATGCATCGGTTAGGGCCAGAACCAAACAACAGCTGATCTGCAGCTGCAGAGCTGGTGGGGGAGCCAGCTTCCCCGACCACCGCCTGCCGCCAGCCCAGGTCCTGTGGCACCCACACTCCTCGCCTCACACCTCGGGAAGCTGAGCCGGCACTGCTGGGTGCCGTGGTCCCCAGCGGTGACCCCGGGGAGGAAGAGCCCCCTGAATCCCCCTGCTTCCTGCCACCTGCTCTGTCCCTTTGGTGTTCGGTTGACCTGTTCTCTGCTTCTCCTCCTGCTGACCGCGTGAGGACCCCTCCTCTGGACAGGAGCTCTCTTCTGGGTTCCCGCCCGCTGTGTCTGCTCGTGGCCGCCAACTAGGTAGTATGCGCCATCTGTATGCCAATGCATGCCCTTGCACGCCGTGCATGGTGTGGAGGAGGCACCGCTAGCTTCCCCGCAGTGAGGCTGGGATGAGGTTGTCGTGTGCTGGGGGCCGCTTCCTGCAGGCATCGGTACTCGCCCTTCATGTCAGCCTGGAACTGGGGGGAGAGCTGCTGCGGAGTTGTAGGCATGGCAGGTGGGCTTAGCTGGCTGGCGGGCTGCCTGGTGGCGTGCAGAGAACTGGCCAAAGCGGATACCCAGGTGCCCACTGCTGCATGTGGGGTAGCTGTGGGCCGCCCTCCTCGGCTTGCTCCTGCGCCCCTGTGGGCAATGAGTTGCAGCCCAGGGAACGGCCCTGCTGACCGCCCCTCTGGGGGTGCTGGTGTCCTCTCCCTGCAGGTGACTGTGTACTGGGTGGAGGAGGCCGGGGCCAGTTCCACGCGCTGCCTCTCCCCGCAGGCCGAGCACGCCGGCGTCCGCACCTACTTCTTCAGTGCCGAGGGCCCCGAGGAGCAGGAGGCCTGGATCCAGGCCATGGGGGAGGCTGCCCGAGTCCAGATCCCTCCAGCTCAGAAGTCAGCGCCCCAGCCCGTGCGTCAGGGGTAAGTGCCGGGGACCGCCCGGGGTGGAGTGAGGAGGACTGAAGCAGTGGCCGCTCTGCGCCATGGCTGAGCCCGCTTGGGCCCCCAGAGAGCTGTGCACTGCACGTCTCCTGCCCCCAGCAGGGCGCCTGGCTGGAGGAGTCCAGACTCTCCTCCCTGACCGGCTCCTCCTCTTTTTCTTTCTGCCGGCAGCTCACTAGGCTAATCCTCCACCTGCGGCGCCGGCACTCTGGGTTCTAGTTCCGGTTGGGGCGCCGGGTTCTAGTCCCGGTTGCTCCTCTTCCAGTCCAGCTCTCTGTTGTGGCCCGGGAAGGCAGTGGAGGATGGCCCAGGTGCTTGGGCCCTGCACCCGCATGGGAAACCAGGAGGAAGCGCCTGGCTGCTGGCTTCGGATCGGCGCAGCATGCCGGCCGTGGCAGCCATTTAGGGGGTGAACCAACGGAAAAGGAAGACCTTTCTCTCTGTCTCTCTCTCTCACTGTCTAACTCTGCCTGTCAAAAATATATATATATTTATATGATAATTTGAAAGGCAGAGTGACACAGAGAGAGGGAGTGAGAGAGAAAGATCTTCCATCCACTGGTTCACTCCCCAAATGCCAGCGACAGCCAGGGCTGGGCCAGGCTGAAGCCCAGGAGCCAGGAACTCCATCCGGGTCTCCCATGTGGGCGGCAGGAACCTAAGTGCTTGAGCCGTGGTCGGCTACCTCCCGTGCACATTTGCAATTGGCTGCATGGGAAGCAGAGCAGCCAGAACTGGAACCAAACAGTGAGGCCGGCACCCAAATGGCTGCCGAGGGCTTTCGGCGGCTCCACTCCTCCTCTTAGCTTGCGCTAGGGGAGGCCAAGGGAGAAGCCAGGTTCCAGGGGCCTGGCCAGGAGCCAAAGGTCAGAGCCTTTTGCTTGTTTTTCTTAGCTGTGTGTGTTAAGCACGTGGCCTTCGGGGGAAGGTGGACCCAGGTCTCAGTCACAGCTCTGCCATGTGCACACAGTGTGACCCCAGCATGTGGGCATGGATCGGCCTCTGAGCCTGGCTTCCTCTCCCTCCCTCCGGCCGGCCGAGGGGACTGTGCTGCACGTGTGGAGAGCGAGCAGTGCGCACCCACATACGTCTCCCACCCCTCCCCACCCAGGCTCAGTGCCTGCCTCTCCTGTAACTGGGCAGGAAATCCTGAGTGAGGTGTTCGTGGGGAGTTTTACAGTGTAGACTCCAAGTGGATTCACGTGTCTTAGAAATGTTTGCCCAGCAGTGTTCCCGTGAGCTCGGCTGACTGTGGAAGCTGCGGGGAGGCAGTTACCGCCAGCTCCTGTCTGGGCTGGAAGCACGGGGCGGGCGTCCAGGAGCGCATCCATCCATAGCACAGACCCCCACCGTGGATCTCACCGCGTGCGGCGCCACGCAGGGTGCCAGGAACACGAGGGAGGGAGTGCTGCCGCGTGCCTGCCGCTTCCCCGAAAGTCGGTCCTGGAAGAAGCGAGCGTTGGAGGCAAGAGCTGGCGTGTTTATCCGCTTGTGGATCTGCAGCCATAACTTCTGCCCCCATGCCTCGGCCCACAGCCGCCCTGGGAGGGGACGCCTGTGTATCCTGCCTGCCCTCGAGGGGCCGAGGTCTGTGGAGGCTAGGTGCCCGTGCCTGCGCCGCGCTATGTGGCTGGGAGTCAGGACAGCTGCTGCTCTGAAATGTCACTGGTGCCAGCCGAGGGGCTGCAGCAGGGGCAGACAGCAGAGGAGCCCCTGGCGGGGGCAGGTTAGTTTCGGCTGTGGCTTGACAGCTGGCTCTGTGCCGGCAGTACAAGGGAGAGGAGAGGACCCAGTGGGGAGACGAGGCAGGTGGAGCAGGGCACGTGGGCTTAGGAATCTCCCGGGCCTCAGCCAGGGGAGAGAGCCTGGCATCTGGGGAGCAGACTCCTGTTCTGTCGCCACCTTCCCCCACCCAGCCCCCTCTGCTGCTTTTCTCCTCCCCTGGTCTGCCTCCCCCCGCCCAACTCCAAGTCGGGCTGGCGTCACTTATGGCGTGTCCCTTGGCATCCCACAGCCACGAGAAGCCAGACTCCGAGAACATCCCACCCGGCAAGCAGCACCAGCAGCCACCCCACAACAGCCTGCCCAAGCCCGAGCCCGAGGCCAAGACCCGAGGGGAGGGGGACGGCCGGGGCTGCGAGAAGGCGGAGCGCAGGCCCGAAGTCAAGAAGGAGTCCCTGGGCAAAGCCGGCGGCATCCCGGCTGAGCCCGGCTCGGAGCCAGGCAGCCCTTACCCGGAGGGCCCGAGGGTCCCCGGGGGAGGGGAGCCGCTGGCCCAGCCCAATGGCTGGCAGTACAGCTCCCCCAGCCGGCCGGGGAGCACAGCGTTCCCACCTCAGGACGGGGACAGCGGGGGCCTGCGCCGGAGCTTCCAGCCACGCACCAACCCAGACAAAATCGCCCAGCGCAAGAGCTCCATGAGCCAGCTGCAGCAGTGGGTGAACCTGCGCCGGGGCGCGCCCCCACCGGAGGACCTGCGGAGGTGAGGCCTGGCCGGCGCCCGGTGTGCCAGGGCTCGGGCACAAGGCATTTTCCTGTGGGGAAACCAGGCCAGTGCCAGCCTGCCCACTTCCTTTCCCGCCCCAGGGCCCCATCTGTAGCGCCTGCCCACTGCTCTCTCTGTCTTCTTCCTGCAGAAGGAGGGGCCGAGCACCCCTGGGGCTCCTCCCCGGCATGGCCAGGAGGCGGGCAGCCTCGGGGAAGCTGTTTTAGGTGGAGGCCGGAACCTCTGCCCCAGGGTTTCTGCAAACGCAGCACCAAGCCAGCTCCTCTTGGGAATAGCTCTCATTGCTGGGAAGCCATTATTTATACAAAGTCACATTTAAAGGAAGCCAGGGCAGCTCCTTGGTCCTAATCGTGCCCTCCCTACGTCCAGTTTACACCTCTGATCCGTGCACGGCTTTCAGATGCTTGGAGACTGCGCCTGGGCTTGTTAGCGCTCCTCAGGCAAGTGGGTCTGTAGCTGCTTCCCTGGGGTTTCAGCCCGGGACTGCAGGTGACCGCTGGGAAAGGCCAGGCCTGGGAGGAGCCTGCCCTCTAGCGGCTGGAGCTGCAGCTCACTGCTGGTGGAGCTGGCGCTTGGAGGCCTCTGGCCTGCCCAGGAGCCCACCCTTCTGTCCTTGACCCAATCGTTCGAGCAAGGAGCTGGCCTTTTGCCCCTCGTCCACTGCCCTCCTTCGGGTGCCTGGTGGACTTGGTTTCTTTCCTGCACTTCCTCTGTTGGGGATGACCCGGTGACATAGTTCACACAGAGGTGGTCACCAAGGAGCGTGGCATTTCTAAGAGACAAGGGCCGAAGGCAGGCATGGGGCAGTCCCCGGCTTCCGGGAGCTGGGTACGGGAGGGGGCTTTGAGGACAGGAGTCTCCCCCAGGACTGGAACAAACCTCCACCCTCGCTGGCAGCCTCTGTGGGCTCCCAGGGCGCCACGCACCTGCTCGGGCATTCTGCTGCCGGCTGCGGGCTGTGGAAGCGGGCTGGCCACAGGGGCTGGGCACAGGGCTGGGGAGGTGTCCATTTTGTCTGCCTGCCTTCTGACATCCCCTCTCCCTCAGTCCCTCCAGGTTCTACCCCGTGTCCCGCAGAGCCCCCGACTATTACGGCCCCTACTCCTCCCAGTACCCTGAGGATTACCAGTACTACCCGCCCGGGGTGCGGCCGGACAGCATCTGCTCCGTGCCCGCCTACGACCGGATCAGCCCTCCCTGGGCCCTGGAGGACAAACGCCACTCCTTCCGCAACGGGGGCGGCCCTGCCTACCAGCTGCGCGAGTGGAAGGAGCCCGCCGGCTACGGGCGGCCGGACGGCTGCATGTGGATCCCCAGCCCCTCGCGGCAGCCGATGTACTACGACGAGCTGGACGCCGCGGCCGGCTCCCTGCGCCGCCTGTCCCTGCAGCCCCGCTCCCACTCGGTGCCACGCTCGCCCAGCCAGGGCTCCTACAGCCGCGCCCGCATCTACTCCCCGGTCCGCTCGCCCAGTGCCCGTTTTGAGCGGCTGCCGCCTCGCAGCGAGGACATCTACGTGGACCCTGCCGCCTACGTGATGCGCCGATCCATCAGCTCCCCCAAGGTGAGCCGCAGGTGCCCTGCCCCTCCTTCCTGTGTCCCCTGTGATCACGGAAGCCTAAGGCCACCTGCTGAGAACAGGTAGAGGTGCCAGGGACACCCGGCCTCCTGCTGGCAGGACCAGCGATGCCCCCCGGGGAGCCACTGGCCTGCAGTCTGCCCCTGGGAGAGCAAACGTGCGGGAACGCTGCTCTCCGTACCCAGCGGCTATGCTGTCCTAATAGGAAGACAGAGAAGGTTCTGTCTTCTCAGATCTAAGGACCTGGGCCGACTGTTCCTGGGGGTTGCCGAATCGGCTCCAGGACAGGATATAAACGTCCTTACCCTTGACCTCCGGTCAAGGCTGAGCTGGCCCCTCTCATGTCTGCAATCCCCTTTCTCTTCCAGTATGATTACCTGGGAGACAGGCGGCCAGCCCCTGCAGGACTGCTCCCCCACAACTACCCACCATCCCCCTCGGTCCACGATAAGATGGTACGTCCTTGGTCCCTTCCCTGCCTCCACCCAAGGTGGAGCCCACTGGGGCCGGTCAGGGACACTCTGTGGCCAGTGCCCGGCCCGTCTGGGGCTCAGTGGCCTCTGGATACCTCCTCCCGCCCTGCCAGGACTGCAGGCCCAGGGCAGCGTTTGGGGCCGGTGACACAGGGCAGAGGAGCAGGGGTGCAGCCCGGGAGCCTGTGACATCCTGCTGTCACCCCTCCGTCCTCCCCTGCCCAGGCAGGGGCTCAGATTATGGGCTGGAGCCCCTCACAGTGGAGAGAACTTGCAGCTGTTCCCCCTGAGCTCACTGGCCTCAGACTCTCTGGGGAGAGAGGCCCGCGGTGTGGCTAAGGGAGGGAAGATTCTCCGTCCCGAGTCTGCTCCCTTCTTGGCACCCCCCTTCTGCTCACTCTCTCCCTCTAATTGGTTCTCCTGAGAATTTTTGCCACTACGTGGAGAATTCAGCACACGGCCCCACTTGGTGGGTGGGGGAGACCCCTGGGGCCAACAGGTAGAAACCCCTTTCCATATGTGGGCTCTTAAAAAAAGTTCATGGAAATGTATATTATGAAATAAACTACACAAGGATTTCATTTAAAAAAAAAAAAGCTTTATTTACTTATATGAAAGGATGACAGAAAAATGGAGAGACAGATCTTCCATCTGCTGGTTGGCTCACCAAATGCCCACAGCAGCCAGGGCTGGGCCAAGCCAAAGCCAGGAGCACAAAACTCCATCCCACGTGGGCAGGGCCCCAAGTGCTTGGTCGTCATCTGCTACCTTCCCAGGTGCCTTAGCAGGAAGCTGGATTGGAAGAAGAGCAGCTGGAACTCAAACCAGCGCCCCAGTATGGGATGTAGCATTCCAAGCCAGGGCCTAGCACCCTGCGCCACAACCCCCAGGCCAGATGTCAACTTGGGTGGGGTTTTTTTGGTGCTAAAACAAACATACCTTTTAATTCCATTTTTCCATGAACTTTTTGAGGTGCCCCGGTGTATATCCAGGAGGCCAGGTGGGGGATGCTGGACGGGCGTGGAGGGCAGCAGCTCCTCCCTCTCTCCTGATTCTCTCGCTCTGCCGCTGTCCAAACTATCGCCTCGACTCCCAGCAGACGTACCCCTGTGGGGACAACCGATTTTCCCAGAAAACTCAGAAAGAGTGTCTAAGAAGAGACGAGGCGGCCTCCATGGTGGCCAGCTCTCCCTGGGGGAGCAAGACTGAGCTGAGAGAGAGGCTGCTGGGCCGAAGCTGAGGCCCCCCCACACACACTTCTCCAGCATCCTCGTCCCCTCCATTCCCCAGACAGAGGCCTCTCCCGCGTCCGTCCGTGCACAGCTCACTCTTTAACGGCTTTGCTTCTTTTTCATTGTTTTCTTTTGTGTGTTCCTGTTTGTTTGTGTTGCTGTTTGGCCTCTGGGCCTCGGGCGCCGGGTAGGATGAACTTTTAGATCTTCAGTTGCAAAGAAACCTAGAGTATTTGGATCAGCAGGTAGGCAGAGCTGGCGCCCCTCGCCCCCACTCCCGTGCCCCCCGCCCCTCAGCTTCCGGGCGGTTCACAATCTTTGTTGGTGCAACCTGGACGCCACAAAGGCGATGACTTTGCTCCTGCACACCCTTCCTCTTCAAAGCCCTCTAGGGCAGCTGGAGAGACAGGCATAATAGATGGGCCTATGAATAATTAATGCCAACTCCTATTTCTCATGTGTTCAGCCCAGATGGACAGGCCCCCGGGGGCAGGCGGAAATTAGCATTTTCGCTGCAGAGGGGAGGGTCGGGGCCTGAGATGCCAGGGATTTAGTGTAACCCCAAATCTGGGAGATCACGGTGGCTCACAGGTTGTGGGGAAACCTCTGTGCACCGAGGCCTGCAGAGCCACCAAGCGTGCCCTGAAAAGCCAGTGTGCGTTCAGTGCACCGGGAGTCTCCCCAGAGTTCCCGGGCAAGCTGCATGTCTGGGTTTCAAGGTTTTGTGTACCAGAAGAAGCTTATCTTTCCTTTCCATTTTCCCACAAACTCTTGGAAATCCCCTCGTGGTTCTCAGTTTTCCCACAAAGCTCTCGGTGGGCTAGGAGAGGGGTGCAGTGGGCTGGGTGCTTCTCTGAGCGTGTCCTGTGTTCAGCTCGGCTCTGCAGAGTGCCAGGAACCTGGAGAAACATGACACTGTGCCGAGGGGCCGCCTGGGACAGGGACATCGCAGCAGTGGTGCTGGTGGTGGCGCTGGACGCTCCGCCAGGCGGATCCCAGCTTGTTCTGTCTCCGTAGCAGCCCTCAGAGGCAGGTGCTGCCGCCACCCCCGTTTCTCTGAAACACAGAGGTTAAATAACACGCCAGGGACGCCCAGCAGCGAGCCACAGAGCCTGGAGGGTGGCTCCAAGCTCGCGACGCAGTTAGCAGCAGAAGCGCCCCCGGCGTGTGACGGAGCCCTGGTCAGGGTGACTGCACGCGCTTCCAGCTGCAGCAGGAACAGACACTCGAAGTCAGGTGTACCGCACATTCTTCTGGACACCAGCCACGTGGGCCGTGGTCTCCCCAGGCCTCCACGTCACACTGAGATCACTCTCGTGGGCGACTTCGGGCACTGGGGAGCACCCAGCAGCCACTGCTGAGTCAGCAGGGATGGCTGCTGCCCCCACCCCCAGGACCTGGCGTGCTGGTTCCAGAAGGGGAGGTGCATTGCGTCCATACCATGGGCACTGCGGTCCCCATGGAGATGAGTCCCTCCCCGGGTGCCACCCAGGGCAGGGCTAGGGAGTGCAAGGTCCCCATGGGGGAAGTCAGGTCAGCCGCGCCCAGAGCTGGGGCCAGCAGAGCTCCCGCGGGCCGGCTCCCTGTGGCGTGTGCTCGGCGCCTTCATCCCGCACGCCTGGCTGTGCCCCTTCCTGAGGGCTTCTGCCTTCCCGGAGGGGCTGAGCGTCCGTCCGTCTCGGAGGAGCCCCCCCTGGATAAAGGTGACATTCCTTAGAGGGCATGAGAAGAGTCGGGCTGCCTGCCCTCAGTCCCGGCCACGAGGCGCTTTGTGAGCTTGGAAATGTCACTCGGTGCCTCTGGGCCTGTGTGTTCTCAGAACGGGGCCGGGGAGAGCCTGCCCTTTCCACCCCAGGTATCACGAGGGGTGGGGACTGCCGCCACCATCACGCCGCCGGCCAGTGTGAGCTCTGGTGTGTGCTCTGCCATTCTCGGGGACAGAGGGGACACGGGAATCCTCCCAGAGGAAAGCCCCCGTGAGGGCTGGGAGCAGGCCAGATGAGAGCCAGGCTGGGAGCCTTTTTCTGCCGAGGGCCGGTGGGATACTGATAACATCATTTGCAGGCCGTATAAAATGCCAGCTTAAGAGTGAGCCTGCTGTGGGTCTGTTGAATTTTGAGTCCTGACTGTGGTTGCCTTGGCAGGGCCAGACCACATGATTTCGGGGGCCTTGTACTGCCCGTGGGCCAGCCTTCCCCACCCCTGCGTTAGGTCTCCTCAGGGGAGCAATGAGATCAGCGCGAGCCTCCCGTGCCCTCTCGAAGGCTGCTGCCTTGTCCTCTGCCCACCGTCTAGATACAGTCACCCCACATACAGTGTCACACACACGCTACCTATAGTCACACCACAAACAGCCACACACCCCACACACAGTGTCACACACATCCTACCTACAGTCACACCAATACAGTGTCACACACACTACCTACAGTCACACCACAAACAGCCACACACCCCACATACAGTGTCACACTCACCTACAGTCACCCCACATACAGTGTCACACACACACTACCTACAATCACACCACAAACAGCCACACACCCCACATACAGTGTCACACTCATCCTACAGTCACCCCACATACAGTGTCATACATCCTACCTACATTCACCCCACATACAGTGTCACACACATCCTACCTACAGTCACCCCACATATAGTGTCACACACATCCTACATACAGCCACACACTCCATATAACAGTGTCACACCCCACATATAGCCACACCACATACAGCCACACACCCCATGTATAGTGTCATACACAACCTACATACAGTCACCCCACGTACAGCGTCACACACATCCTACATACAGCCATCCCACATATAGCATCACACACATCCTACATACAGCCACCCCACATACAGCGTCACACACATCCTACATACAGTCACCCCACATACAGCCACACACCCCACGTATAGTATCATATACAACCTACATACAGTCACACTACATACAGTGTCACACGCATCCTACATACAGTCACCCCACATACAGCGTCACACACATCCTACATACAGTCACCCCACATACAGTGTCACACATATCCTACATGCAGCCACACCACACACAGCCACACACCCCACGTATAGTGTCATACACAACCTACATACAGTCACACCATAGTGTCACACACATCCTACATACAGTCACACACCCCACATACAGTGTCACACACCCCACATACAGTGTCACACACATCCTACATACAGTCACCCCCCACACAGCCACATACCCCACATACAGTGTCACACACATCCTACATACAGCCATACCACATACAGCCACATACCCCACATACAGTGTCACACACATCCTCATAGTCACCCCACATATAGTGTCACACAATCCTACAGTCACATCACATACAGCATCACACACATCCTACATACAGTCACACCACAAACAGCCACACACCCCACATACAGTGTCACACACATCCTACATACATTCACCCCCACATACAGCCACACACCCCACATACAGTGTCACACCACATTAGTCAACCCACATACAGCTACAGTGTCACACCACATACAGTCACCCAACATACAACCACACATCCTACATACATTCACACTACATAGCCACACACCCCACATACAGTGTCACATACATCCTACATACAGTTATGCACACACAGTCACATACAGTCACATACACCCCACATATGCACACCCTACATATAGTCATACACACATCCTACATATAGTCATACACACACACCACATAATTGCACACCCCACATATTCTCACATGCACACCCATGCAGTCGCACACACACATCCAGCCACACGTACCACACACACACACACACACACACACACACGGAATCTCTAAGAAGATGGGGTCAGACTTGAGCTGCATCCTTACAGAAGACGTGACTAACAGCTGACTGTATGTGAGAGGCAGAGAGACAGACAGACAGCTCCTGTCCACGGCTTCCCCGCTTAGATGCCTGCCATGCTGATGCCGAGCCAGGAACTCAGTGCAGGCCTCCCCTGTGAGTGGCAGGAATCCAACTACTTGAGCCATCACCTTCCTCCCAGGGTGCACATTAGCAGGAAGCTGGAGTCCGGAGCCGGAGCTGGGAATTCAGCTCCAGGTGCCCCGACGGGGCTGCAGATGTCCCCGCTGGCTTCTTAGCCCGCAGGCCAAACCCCACCCCCACCCCCACCCCCGTTGACCTTCACAAAGACTCAACCTCCTATTGTAAGTGCTCTTTGGAAAACACAGGAAGAAAACCTCCCAGCTGGGCTACAGAGGTAGAAAAATGAGATCTAGGGAAGGGTCTTAAAGTCACAGACCCTGCCGACGGGCGGGTGCCCTGGGCCCGTCCCAGCACTCCCGAGCAAGGCTGCATTTGGGCTGTTGCCTAGGAGGGCTGAAAGGAAGACAGTGTGGCTCCAGCCGAGCCTGAAGAGACCCTGGAAGACAACACAGGGGGCCCTGAACTGTGACCCAGGGAGCTCCCCTCATTCGTTCCCACCCCAGAAGCTTTCCCCCACAGTTCCCTGCGCCTCTGCTGCCGTCTCCTGCAGACGAATGGAGTTAGAGAGACACAGCCAAGTTCACCGCCAGCCACATTCGCTTTTGGATCCTCCCACACTGGAACCAGCCAGGGAGATGAGGGCGTTTCTGGTTGATCCGGTTGGCCCAGCCCCTGTCCCATTTCATTTGGCAAATACAGTGCCCCCTCCTCCCGTTCCTGCCATCCTTGAAATTCGAAGATAAGGGTTGGAGCACCGTGTCCCCGTGTCCCTTTAACCCTGCATGCCCGTCCTGGTCTCCCTGCCGTGCCCCGGCGTCCCTGGGGGGGGCACAGATGCTGCCCATGCAGCTCTGGAAACTCGTTCTCGCCAAAAGGTGGCAGGGGTCAGGGTCAGGGACCTCCCAGCCGGGGAGCAGCCGTTTCATGCAGCTCAGCTGTTGGGGGAGCGGCCTTCCCTGCCACCTGTGTGGTCTCTGTCCACAGTAGTGTGAGGAACGGGGCCAGGGGCTCGGAGATGACAGCCTTGGCCAATGGAGGAACCCACGGCAGTCGGAAAGGCTGCAGCAGGTCCCGGCGGCCCTGGTCCTGAGATAGTCCCAGGCTGCTGGAGGCCCCAGGGGGCGCTGCCCTTTCCCGGTCTCCTGGGAAGCACGCCCGGTGGGTGCCGGGGGGCGCCCCGTGCCGCGCTGAGTGTGGGTCCTCCCTTCCTCCCTGTGCTGCAGATGAGTGAGAGCGAGACACTCATCAGTATGGTGAACCGCATGGTGGAGAACTCCTCCCCCAGGGCCCAAGTCTTCATGCAAGTAAGACCCTGGCCCGGCAGCATGGTCCCCGCCAGCGCCATCCCAGCTGCTTGTGCATGGTCGGGCCGCCCACTGGCACGGGGCTCATATGCCACGCCCCAGCCCCCAGAGACGGGCACAGCCTGCTCTTCCTGCCGCGGTTCTGCCGGGCCACTTCCATCCCTTCATGTCCATGGGTAACCCGTGGCCCATTCCCCAAGCCATCAAAATAGCCAGCATCCACACCTCATGCCGTGCTGGGGGTGCAAATGGACATTGAAGCATCCGGGACTTGCATTGTGTGTTCACTTGCTCACGCGTCACTGGGACTCTGGGCATGAAGGGTGTGACATAGAGCCACTTGGTTCCCCGGATGTCCGGTGCGGCAGCCAGCAGACGTGTCACCGCGGCCTGGCAGAGACATCCTGAGTCTTGCCGCTCCTGGTGTAGGTGCAGCCCTGTGACCGTGCTCCGTCTGCTGGGGCAGCGGATCCCCACGTGTCCCAGTCTCATTCCTGCCATCCTCCGCGTCCGCTCCCCACACACAGCCGTGGGGTTGCTGATGTCCTCGTGGTGGTTCCCAGGGAGCCATGGGGAGTTCAGCGGGGACCCCAGCATGTGGGGTGGGGAAGTGCAGAGCATGGGCTGAGCGGAGTCCTGATCCGCCCAGAACCAGCCTGGCGCTGGGGGGATGGAGTCCAGGCGGGGTCATCGCCAGCTTCCACACCAGGCAACACGAGTTAGCGCAGGTCCCCGGAGTGGATGCCAGCACAGGGGACAGACCGCGATCCGTGTGTGTGACAGCACCTTTCCCGTCCCCACGGCAGTAACCCCCCAACCTCGTGTTCCCGCAGGTCCCTCCGTACCCAGAAGTATTCCGGGACGGCCTCCACACCTTCAAGCTGAACGAGCAAGACACAGACGTAAGCTCGGCTCTCCCGGCTCCCTCTGCTCCAGCCTCTTAATGTCCCCCTCCCATGCCATCCTTGTCCGTCTCTGCTCCCAGAAGCACCTGGTACCCTTGCCTCCCGTCCCCTCTCCCCACGAGGCCGCACTCTGCCTGCCTCCTCCCACCACGTTCTTTTCACACTGGCCTGTGTATTTCTCCACGAGCGCTAGTCCACAGCAGGGGCATCTGCTTATAACAGGAAGGCAGAGCCGCCGGGACGTGAGTCGGTCAGCGTGCTCCGTGCCCAGCGTGGCCCGAGTCCCTGCCAGTGACTTGAAAGAATGTGGCCCCGGCCCTGCCCTTGGGGAGGTGCCAGGCAGCAGGAGGTGGCCACACGGGCCTCCTGTACTGCAGAGGAGCAGAGGTTCTACCGACTGCAGAGACGCGAGGCCGTGTGGGCTGGCGGGTCGGGATCAGGCAGTAGCCTGTGAGCTGGGCCTTGATGTCGAAAGGCCCGGAGCACGAGACTTGGCGCTGTGGGAGGGGAGCGGAGGAATGGCCCGAGTAGAAGTGTGGACGTGGAGAGCGCGAGTCTGCCCAGGAGAGGAGCTTGGCCTAAGCTGGTCCTCCCCGTCACCTGCCCGGCGGATCTGCCCAGCCGGCCTCGGAGGGACCCCAGAGTCACCATCCTAGGAGCCTGGAGGAGAGAGGGGAAAGGGGAGACTGGGGCCTGGGGATGGGAGAGCCGAGAGGGGCACCGAGGGGCCAGTCTGCCGGGCACTGCCTTCTGTTTGCTCTGCCGCCTGCCACCCTCTGTCTTCAGCTGAGGCCGCGTCACCCCTTGCGAATTATAGCTCCCAGGATGGGGGTGGGGGGTGAGGGGCTTGGTTCCCAGCCCCCTGCCCTGCCAACCAGACCCACTTCCTTGAAGCATAAGCATACCTTCCCTCCCAAGCTGGAGGCCCATCCTCGCTGCTGGGGGGCTCCACGGTCAAGGTGACAGCCCAGGGGTCCTGGGCAAGGGGAAGGAGGCAGAATGCAGAGGTCCCGCCACCCCTCTCGGGTCCCCATCAGACATCCTTCATCCCCTTCTTCCCCCCCCCTCCCCTCTGGGCCCTTAGAAGCTGCTGGGCAAACTGTGCGAGCAGAACAAGGTGGTGCGCGAGCAGGACCGGCTGGTGCAGCAGCTCCGGGCGGAGAAGGTGAGACCCGGCGGCGCCGAGAAGGCGGGGTGTTGCCGAGAGCTGTGGGAGCTTGGTCCTGCTTCCGTCCTGGCTCCGGGGGACCGCGGGCCGTGGCCAGCGTGTGCGGGCGTCCTTACCAAGCTGCCCTCTGGAGACTAGAGAGGGGCTCTCCAGCCCACTCCCGCCATCCCCGGCCTTCCTGCAGGAGAGCTTGGAAAGTGCCTTGATGGGGACCCACCAGGAGCTGGAGATGTTCGGCAGCCAGCCGGCCTACCCGGAGAAGCTGCTGCACAAGAAAGAGTCGCTGCAGAACCAGCTCATCAACATCCGGGTGGAGCTGTCTCAGGCGACCACGGTAACCCGGGCAGCGGGGTCTCTGCGCCCTCTACCGGCCAGCCGGAGAGCTCCCCCACCCCACCCACACGGTAACCCGGGCAGCGGGGTCTCTGCGCCCTCTACCGGCCAGCCGGAGAGCTCCCCCACCCCACCCACACGGTAACCCGGGCAGCGGGGTCTCTGCGCCCTCTGCCGGCCAGCCGGAGAGCTCCCCCACCCCACCCACACGCACGCAAGCCGTGCTGTCCCAGTCCAGATGCTCCTCCTGCCTGGCCGGAGCACAGAGGCCTTCACACTGCCGTGCACGCGGCTGCACGGCTACCCGGCAGCCCCTGCTCCCACAAACAGGACGCCCACAGGACAGCCTGACGCCGAGGGCCGCGGCCTTTTCTGCCGCTCAGACACCTCGGCCGCCTGCTCTGTCCTCTCCCTTGCAGAAGCCGGCACTGACACCCGCCCCGGTCCTTTCCCCGGGGACCCAGAGCAGGTCCTCCAGGGCAGACCTTGTGCATGTTGGTGGCCAGCAGCCCTGGCCACAGCCCCAGGGAACTGTGGGCGGCCAGGAGGAGAATCTCACCTGCAGGGAACACACACCCTGCCCCGGGCGCCCTGCTGCCTGCTCTGGCTCCTCCTCCAGGCTGGGGAGAGTGGGAGACGGGGAGCCACGTGTCCCCCCTTCACCTGTGCCCTGCCCGGAGAGGAGTCTGTTTTCCCTGTCTTCCATTTGCAGCGGGAGGTGCAGCACCTCCTGCACAGCTGGGCTTTGGCTGTCGTCAGCATGTCTGAGCCGGTGCCTCTGTCCCCTGACCTTAGGGGCCCTGCTGTGGCCAGGGCGGCCTTCCCAGTAAACCCCTTCCCCACAGGCCCTGACGAACAGCACCGTGGAGTATGAGAACCTCGAGTCGGCGGTGTCTGCCCTGCACGACGGCCTCTGGGAGCAGCTCAATTTGGACCCGCAGGTGAAGGAGGGCCCTGAGCGGGCGGGGCTGTCCCTGTCCTGCGGTCTCTCGGCCTTCGCGGCTTCCTCTCTCTCACTTCGACAAACCCAGAGACGTAAGAGCAGGAGAGCAGGGGTCGGTCCTGGACAAGAGAGGAGGATCAGACAGTTGACGGCAGAGTGAGGCTTCAGGACGGAGGTGGTGTGGGGTTCTCCAGTTCCACCAGCCCACGGGCAGACACTGAAGCCGAAGCATGGGAGCCTTAGAGGGGACGTCAGGTGCTTCGTGATAGTGAGGATTTTTTTTTAAGATTTATTTATTTATTTATTTGAGAGAGAGAGAGAGAGAGAGGTCTTCCATCCTCTGGTTCATCCCCCCAGATGTCTGCAACGGCCAGAGCTGTGCCGATCTGAAGCCAGGAGCCAGGAGCTTCTTCCAGGTCTCTCATGCAAGTGCAGGGGTCTGAGAACTTGGGCCATCTTCCACTGCTTTCCCAGGCCATAGCAGAGAGCTGGATTGGAAGTGGAGCATCCAGGACTCAAACTGGCACCCATATGGGATGCCAGCACAGCAGACCGGGGCTTTAACCCACTATGCCACAGCGCTGGCCCCACGACAGCAAGGATTTTAACAGCAGACATGTGACGTGGGCATTTGGTGCAGCGTTCCGTCGCCACTTGGGATGCCCACACCCTGTGTCGGAGTCCCTGGGTTTGAATCCCGCCTCTGCTTCCAAGCCAGCTTCCTGCCAGTGCACATCTGGGGAGGCAGCAGGTAACAGCTTCAGTGCTGGGTCCCAGCCACCCATGTGGGAGACCCAGGCTGAGTTCCTGGATCCTGGCTCCTGCCCAGCCCAATGCCTGTTGTGGGATTTGGGAGATCTTTCTTCTCTCTCTCTCTACCCCAAATAAATAAACAACTTTGTTTTAAAATGTTGAAAGCAGACATGTACATATAAATATCTCTCGTGACCCCGGAGCAGTTTGCACGGGGCTGGGTTAGACACAGTCTGCGCGGAGGCAGGAGGATGGACCTAGTGGCCTTGGGGAGTTCCGATCTTCCCTCTTTCTCTGCCCCGCCCTCCTCAGCCCTGGCATGCGCCGCGGCGGTGCTGCAAGCTTCCCCCATTGCCCTGCTTTTCCCTCGCTGCCGGTCGGGCAGGCGCACGTGAGACCCTCTGACCCAAGGGACATAAATCGCACCTCACTGCTCAGGCACGCCTCACTCTGAACACGACCGTTTTAGGGGGTGGGGGAGGTCACAGCACCAGCTTTGGAGTCCCATGGGTTCTTGTTCAGACGGTGGTCACGCTGCTCACGCGGGCCCGAGTCTTCACCACCACTTGCCGCGCAGGTCTGTTGTGCAGCTAAAATGAGTTGGTGTGTGCAAAGTGCTTAGCGCCGTGCCTGGTACTGAGGCTGCTTTCTGTCAGTGTGTGAGCTGTCACGAGCAGAACCCATGTTACACGTGGGGCCACCAAAGGGCTGTTTGGAAGCAAGAGAAAAAGTCAACTGCCCGCTCTTGCCCCCTGGGACCACCGACCCCAATCTCCCCCGGACAAACTCAGGAGGCCAGGGCCACCTCCTTGTGCAGTTCTAGGATGCTGTTTAGAGAGGTTGACGAGGCAGACTGCCCATGGGAACGGTGCCTGCTCGGAGGTGCGTGTGTGCTTGTGTGTGTGTGCACATGTGTGTGTGCATGCATGTAGGAGGTGCATGTGTGTGCACATGTGTGTGCTTGTGTGTGCATGTGTGTAGGAGGCGTGTATGCTTGTGTGTGCATGTGGGAGGTGTGTATGCTTGTTGTATGTGTGCATGTGTGTGCATGCATGTAGAAGGTGCATGTGTGTGCTTGTGTGTGTGCATGTAGGAGGTGCATGTGTATTCATGCATGTAGGAGGTGTGTATGCTTGTTGTATGTGTGCATGTGTGTTCTTGCATGCGTGCATGTAGGTGGTGCACATGTGTGCATGTGTGTATGCATGTAGGAGGTGTTTGCTCATGTGTATGTGTGCATGTGTGTGCATGTATGTAGGAGGTGCATGTGTGTATGTGTGTGCGTGCATGTAGGAGGTATGTGTGCTTGTGTGCATACGTACGTGCTTACATGTGTGCATGCATGCATGTAGAACATGTGTGTGATTGTGTGTGCATGCATGTAGGAGGTGTGTGTATGTGTGCACATATGTAGGAGGTATGTGTGTGCATGTGTTTATGTAGGAGTTGTATGTGTGTGCATGCATGTAGGAGGTGTGTGTGTGTGTGCATGTAGGAAGTACATGTGTGTGCATGTTGTGTGTGTGCATCCAGGGCTCCTGCCCTCTGTGGGTCCACAGGGCTGCCGGTTCAGGGGTGTGCAGGCTGAGCGGAGGGCTGGCCGCTCCTCGTGGCTTCTCCTTTGACTCTCTGTGACGCTTCCAGAATGAGGCGCTTTCGCGGCAAATCCAGAAGGAGATCTGGCGGATCCAGGACGTCATGGAGGGGCTGCGGAAGAACAACCCGTCCCGGGGCACGGACACCGCCAAGCACAGGGGTGGGTGTGGCCCTGCCAGCCGCCGGGCTCCGCCCTTCCCCAGGGATGCTCCAGCATTTCTGGCCCCCGTCCCTTTTCTGCCAGCTCACACCAGGCTCAGGGCCGCTCAGGACCTTCTCAGGGCTCCAGACTCCTCCTGGGCCCTTGGGTGGATGTGGGCTCCCTATGCCCTGCAGGATGGACCAGGAGGCCACTGAGGGACACTGCTGACCTGGCCACTCTAGAATATTCCCCAGGAAAGGTCAAAGAGCACCTGAGTCCCCCCAGCTCCCCAGCGTGTGGACACACAGGTGGTCTGACCCCACCTAGTGGCTCCTTGAGTCCTGGGACCCCAGGCTGGCTCGCGCCAAGCCCTTGGAAGCCGTGGTGTCATCTCCATCCACCCCCTCCCCTGCCTGCCACCCCTCTAAGCACCAGCCTGTGGCTCCCGCACATGCAGTGAGTCCCTTGGCAGGCCCAGTGGCCCCAAGAGCCATATCCCATAGCCCTGGCTAGGTTGCTCCCACCCTTCTCCTCCCCTCATCTCTCTCCCCTTCTTTTCTCCCAAGGAGGACTCGGCCCCTCGGCCACCTACAGCTCCAACAGCCCCGCCAGCCCTCTCAGCTCCGCCAGCCTCACCAGCCCCCTGAGCCCCTTTTCCCTGGTGTCTGGCTCCCAGGGGTCCCCCACCAAGCCCAGCTCCAACGAGGTAAGCTGAGAAAACTGAGCTGAAGGTGAGGGGGTGAGCGGGAGCCTCTCTCCGCTGTGACGCAGAGTTCAGGGTCACACCTGGGGAAGCTGCGTCTTCCGGGGCCCTGGATCAAGGGAGCCACTCTCACCCCAGCCCCGTGGCCTGCCTCCACGGTCCCCTCTACCTGCCCCGGGCTCCTTCCGTCCTCTTGAGCTCCCTCTGAGGAAGTCTCTCGCTAGCACCGGGGCAGTTAGCAAAGGTAGCCGGGCGCTTGCCAGGAGCCAGAATCCCAGAGGACTCGGGGCAAGAGGGTCGAGGTGGGCATGGGGGCGCCTTTCCCAGACAGCGCGCTGGGCTCTCCTGTGGGCCGGGGATGGGACAGGCCCTCTCTGGAGGAGACGTGTGCGTGCCCAGCAGTGAGCAAGCCGCAGCCGCGGAGCACGGAGGCGTGGGTCTCAGGATGGATCCCAGCGAGGGGAGGGGGCCAGAGGGGAACGCGGGGAAGAGGGGCGAGCTGGACTGAGCCCAGCCTGGAGGTGCACAGCGAGGAGAGGCCTTCCCGGAGAACTGGGGGCCGCGGGCGTGGGGCGGGGGCTCCTCTGCCCAGGCCAGGGTGGGCTGTCCCAGGCTCACCCCTCCCATGGTGGCGTTGCCGTCTGCCTCCTCTAACGCTCTGTTCTCCTGCTCTCACAGTGACCGCTCTACTCTTCCTAACGCTCTGGCCTCTCTCTGCCTCAGGAACCTGGCCCGCCTCGGCCGCCCCTCCCCAAAGCCTACGTCCCCCTGGAGTCCCCTCCAACCGTCCCTCCACTCCCTAGTGAGAGCCGCTTCTGGCCCTACCCCAACTCCCCTTCCTGGCACCGCAGTGGCGAGACAGCCAGGGGTCAGGTACCTGGCACCCCGGGGCCCTGGCGGGGGGTGAGTGGGAGAACGGGCAGAGGGCCAGGCGAGGGGGCGAGGGACGCCGCCGCAGGGGTTTCCCTGTGCGTCTTCTCCAAGTGCAGTCTCTACTGCGCCCTCGGCCCTGGACGCCGGAACAAGGGGAGGAGTGGCCGGGCAGTCTCATGGGCCACCTTGACACTTGTGCTCCTTCTGGTTGTTGGGAAATGAGTTCTGCCCACTCCAGGCCGGTGGGCAGCCAGTGGTCGCAGGTGCTGGACTGGGCCCCTCTCCGCCCCCAGGACCCTCCGGTGGAAGTCCAGGGAGTCCCCTGCCAGGGTCATGAGATCCCGTCCTGTCCTGTCCTCGCCTCAGGCCCTCGTGCCCCCAGAGCTCTGTCTGCCTCTGCTTTTCTTGTGCTGTCTGTGGGCTCCGCAAGCCCCTGCAGCCTAAGGACCCAGGGCCGTTTCTCTCCTGCTCTGTCTCCCTCTCTTGCCTGGGCCCCCAGCCCGGACCCAGGAGATGTGCTGGTGGGCTTGGAAGAGGGCGTGCGGTGAGTAGGCACCGGGAAGCGGCGAGCCTGCCGTGGAATCTGCAGGACGCTGGTGGTGCGCCTGGGGCGCTGGGCAGAGCAGCTGCATGCCCTGTGGTTGACAGATGAGGAGACCAATGGGACTTGGCCATGCCGTCTGCTTGGGTGGAGCTGGCGTTCCTGCCCTCTGGCCTGCAAGTCTGCAGCTACATGGGGGAGTGGGTGGCCCAGGTGGCGTCTGAGGCCGCTTCTAGCCCCATGGTTGTACAAGCCCATGAGCTGAGTGCACTCTTCATGCCCAGAATCCTGGTCCAAGGCCCAAAGTCTCAGGTGCCCAGAATCCCAGGTTGGATTCTAAGAGACCCATGGCCCCATAGCGCCCTCCTCTGGCCGTTCCTGGCCTTGCTGCTTCAGGCTGGCAGGATAGAGTGGCCTCTCTGTCCACTGAAGCCCTCCTGGAGGCCGTGAGCCCTCCTTCCCCAGGATGGCCCAGCACGGGGTGGCCTCGGGCTGCGTGTGCGGGAGGCTCTGGTACGTCCCTGCACGCATCCCAGCCGGCCCGTGTAGAATCTGCCTGTTCCCTGTTCCCTGTGTCTGAGCACCAGCCGCTGCGAGACAAGGCAGCATCGCTGGGCCCCCGTTCCCGCAGCCACGGCAGCATCAGCCACGTTCTCTTCCTTTCTCCTCAGGGCCAGACAAGCTACGAGCAGAGCAAGAAAGACCCTCTCCAGGTGTCGCCCCTGGACGCCCCCAGAGACATCAGCCTGGTGCCCACCAGGCAAGAGGTGGAGGCAGAAAACCAGGCAGCACTCAACAAAGGTACTTCCTGGCCGGGCCTCCTGAGACTGAGGGGCAGTGAGGAGCCCTGGGGGCTGATCCTGGGACGGTGGGACGGAGCCCTCGGTGAGAAGTGGGCTCCCTGCCTGACGGCTCCCTCTCCTGCAGTCGGCATTGTGCCCCCGCGGACGAAGTCGCCCGCCGACGAGGAGGTGACCCCATCGGCCGTGGTCAGGAGGACGGCCAGCGGGCTCAGCAATGGCCTGTCCTCTCGGGTGAGTGCACGCTGCAGGCTCAGGGCCCCTGTTGTGCTGCGAGCTGAGCCCAGCAGAGCCCGGGGCCCACCCATCAGCCAGCTGTTGAAGCAATGGGGCCAGGGGAGGGAGGGAGGGAGACCCAGCAGGGGACGGGGCGAGAGCGTCTCCAGAGAGACACATGCACGTGACAGAGCGAGAGCGTGGACGCTGCTGCCGCGCATGCGCTGGTGAAAGGAGCGGGCGGGAGGGCAGCGGTCAGAGTGAGCCAGCTGGCCCGAGGCTGGTGCTCGGCGCTGCCGTCGGCCGGGAGACCAGGTGGCGGGGAACACACACACACACTTCCGCCAAGTTGTGGAGGCCGGGAGTCGAGATCACAGCGGCCGAGGGTTGACTTGCTTGGAGGCGCAGGGAGACTCCGTGCCCGCTCCTGGCTGGCCGTGGCACTCCCCACCTTACCGGCTTCCCTCCAACCTCTGCCCGCGTCGCCACACCACCCTGCCCCCTTGTGCTCCCCTTGTCTGTAGGAGAACACCCCTCACTGGATCTGGGGCCCCCAACTCACCACGAGCTCACCGGGAGCTTCTGGCTCTGGTCACATCTGCAGACCTCTTTCCAAATGTGGTTACAGACGCAGGGCGGGGGGCTAGGACCGGAGCGTATCTTTTGGGGGCTGCTGTCCAGCAGCTACATTCCACCCTCTGATCCCCAAAATTTTGTGCCCATTCCACTTGCAAAACTGCATACATCATTCCTGCGTCCCCCAAAGTCTCGGTCTATGCCAGCACCAACTCCAAGCCTGAAGTACCCAAGTATCACAAACTCAGAGCCCCAGATCCATCACCGCCTCACTGCCCCCAGGTCCGTGTGAGATCTCCGACTTCTTGGGGCAAAATTCCACTCCGCTGTATCACTGGAAAATCACCTAATCTGAAATACACAACTGGGACAAATATCAGATGCCATTTCTGTCACCAAAAAGGAGAAATTGGAAGAAATAAAGAGGTTGGCAGTCCTCAGCAGTGGCATACTAGGCTAAGCCTCCACCTGCAGCATGCCACACAGACACCGGTTCGAATCCTGGCTGCCCCACTTCTGATCCAGCTTGCTGCTATGGCCTGAGAAAGCAGCAGAAGGTGGCCCAAGTGCCTGGGCCCCTGCACCCACGTGGGAGACCTGGAAGAAGCTCCTGGCTTTGGGTTGGCCCAGCTCCAGCTATTGCAGCCATTTGGGGAGTGAACCAGCAAATGGAAGACCTCTTTCTCTCTGTAACTCTACTTCTCAAATAAATAAGTAAATCTTTAAAAAGTTAGAGAAAGAGGCCGGCACCGCGGCTCAATAGGCTAATCCTCCACCTTGCGGCGCCGGCACACCGGGTTCTAGTCCCGGTCGGGGTGCCAGATTCTGTCCCGGTTGCCCCTCTTCCAGGCCAGTCCTCTGCTGTGGCCAGGGAGTGCAGTGGAGGATGGCCCAAGTCCTTGAGCCCTGCACCCCATGGGAGACCAGGAGAAGCACCTGGCTCCTGCCATCAGATCAGTGCAGTGCGCCGGCCACAGTGGCCATTGGAGGGTGAACCAACGGTAAAAAAGGAAGACCTTTCTCTCTGTCTCTCTCTCTCGCTGTCTACTCTGCCTGTCGTAATGAACAACAACAAAAAAAAAAAAAAAAAAGTTAGAGAAAGAGGGAGATACAGAGAGAGAAATCTTCCATCTGTTGATTCACTCCCCAAATGGCAGCAAATAGCTGGGCCAGGCTGAAGCCAGGAGCCAGGAGCTTCTTCCAGGTCTCCCACATGAGTGCAGGGGCCCAAGGACTTGGGCCATCTTCTGCTTTCTCAGGCACATTAGCAGAGAGCTGATTGGAAGTAGAGCAGGTGGGACTGGAACCAGTACCCATATGGGATGCCGGCACTGCAGGAGGAGGCTTTACCCATTACGCCACAGAGCCAGCCCCACCATTAGCTTTCAAGGCCTGCAATAATCTGTGATTTGGTCTCCTCCCCTCTGGGTCCAGGAGGCTCCCCAGCCCCACCCCTAAGTGTTGCCCCCCTGGTCTCTGCCTCTGCAACCTTTGCTGTGGTCTCAGAATCACTGTTCCTTTTTGGTAGCCAAATAGAGCTATTAGCCTATTGTAAGATCCCTGAAGCCTGACACTTTTAAAAATCATTTCCTCTCTACCTGTCCCGTTCATCAGAAGCTGGCGGTATTTTTGCTGATACGACATCTCACAAACCGTGCAGGTCTCCTGTGTATTTGAACAAACCTGTATCTGTTTCTTAGTTCCGAGACTTGTGATTGGCTCTGTGAGTCCCACACCTCACCTCTCCAGCGAGATGGTGGCCATCCTCCACGCCCTCTCCGGGGCACACTTTTCCAACAGCGGAATGTCCTGTCCACGCCCCCTTTGTGAATCCGGCAGGCTGAGAACCCCCCCAAGTGATACTTAGTAGCTTCTTCCTCTCCTGTGCTGCTCTAAGTACAAAGAAAAACAAGGGCGCACCTTCAACACAGGCTTGGAAATCTCAGCTGCACACCCACATTCTGCTGTCCCCTCAATGGCTGAGCCACCTGCTGCCACTTAACACAGATGGCCTTTGCTCCACTTTTTGGTAATATGGTCCTCAGTTCTTCTGAGACCTCAGTCCAAAGCCTCCTTCCCCCCTTTTTAAGATTTTGTTTATTTACTTGAAAGAATTACAGAGAGGCAGAGAGCGAGAGAGGTCTTCCATCCGCTGGTTCACTCCCCAAATAGCAGCAACGGCCAGGGTTGTGCTGATCTGAAGCCAGGAGCCAGGAGCTTCTTCCGGGTCTCCCACGTGGGTGCAGGGGCCCAAGGACTTGGACCATCTTCCACTGCTTTCCCAGGCCATAGCAGAGAGCTGGATTGTTTGTGGGGCAGCCAGGACTCGAACTGGTGCCCATAGGGGATGCTGGCACTGCAGGTGGCAGCTTTACCTTCTGTGCCACAGTGCTGGCCCCCAAAACACCTTTAACAGCCACTTTTCCACCAACGTTTGGCTCGTGGGGATTCTGAATCGCACGTGCAGGCTCTGAGACCGTGGCAGCTTTCTCCGCTGTATTCTTCACTGTCTCTCGGCACCGCCAGAATCATCTTTAAATCCCAACTTGCTGTCCATCATCTCTTCCAAGGAATCTGGGCTTTTTCTGTCCTGCCCCTCGCCGTTCTTCCAGCCCCTACTCATTACCCAGTTCCAAGGTCTCTTCTACGCTTTCCAGTGCTGGTTGAGACATTGCCCTTTCCCGGTACCAAGATCTGTGTTAGTTTGCTGGGACTGCAGTGACAGACGACCACAGCCTCATACAGCAAGCACTGATTCTCCCAAGGTGTGGCGGCCGGAAGTCCAGAACCAGGGAGTTAGCAGGGGTGGCTCCCTTTGGAGGCTCTGGGGGAGGAGCGAGTCGGTGCCTTCTCCTAGCTCATGACCACTGCAGGCAGTGCCTGGCCCTCATCCCCGTGTAGACAAATCTCCCCCTTCTCGGCCTCCCTGTTCACGTCACCTGCTCTGCCCTGTGTGTCCATTGTGGGGGTGGGGTTTGAGGCACCTGTGAGAGCCCCGTGTCCCCGCCACAGCAGGAGCGCCCCAAGAGCGCGCTGTTTCCCAGCGAGGGGAAGGTGAAGATGAGCGTGGAGGAGCAGATTGAGCGAATGCGGCGGCACCAGAGTGGCTCCATGAAGGAGAAGCGGAGAAGCCTGCAGCTCCCCGCCAGCCCAGCGCCGGACCCCAGCCCCCGGCCTGCCTACAAAGTGGTAATGTCCCCTCGGCCGCCCCAGGCCTGCATCCCAGCGCGTGGCCAGCCTGCTCTAGGGAGTTTGGAGAGGGAAGAGACTGGAAAGAACCCAACTGGGCACCTGGGAGAACTTGGGGAGGCTTCTTTCTTTTTTAAGTTTATTTTGTTTATTTGAAAGGCAGAGGAAGAGAGGGAGGGAGAGACACAGATCTTCCCTCGGTTGGTTTACTCCCCAGATGGCCATGGTGGGCCAGGAAGTCCATCTAGGTTTCCCACATGATGGCAGGGACTGAAGCACTTGGGCCTTCTGCCTTCCCAGGTGCATTAGCAGGGAGCTGGATTGGAGGCAAAGCAGCCACAACTCGAACCGGTGCCCTCGCATGGGATGCTGGCATTGCAAGTGGCGGCTTAACCTGCTGTGCCAAGCGCCGGCCCCATGGGGAGGCCCCTTGCCACTGGACAGCGGAGTTCTTTCAGCAAGTGTTTCCTTATTATGTTTAAAAAAAAGACTTCAGGCAGGCTGTGTGGCGTAAGTAAAGCTACTGCCTGTAAAGCCGGCAGCCCACGTGGGTGCCAGTTAGAGTCCCGGCTGCTGCTCCAGCTCCCTGCCAGGTCAGATGAGCCAAGTGCTTGGGTCCCTGCACCCACCTGGGAGATCTGGATGAAGCTCCCGGCTTCTGGCTTCAGCCGTTATAGCCACCTGGGAAGTGAATCAGCAGATGGAAGAGCGCTCTCTCTCTCTCTCTCTCTCTCTCTCTCTCTCTGTAATTCTGTCTTGTAAATAAATAAGTAAATAAATCTTTTTAAAAAACTTTGTGTTGAAAAAAAGTATAGCTTAGGGCCAGCATTGTGGCACAGCAGGTTAAGCTACCATCTGCAATGCAGGCATCCCATATGGGTGCTGGTTCAAGTCCTGGCTGTTCCACTTCCAATCCAGCTCCCCTAATAAGCGGGGGATAGCGGGGGATAGCCCAGCCCCTGCCACCCATGTGGGAGACCCAGATGGAGTTCCTGGCTCCTGGGTTCAACTTGGCCCTGGCTTATTTGGTCATCTGGGGAATGAACCAGTGGATGGAAGACCTCTCTGTCTCTCTCTGTAATTCTGCCTTTCAAATAAATAAATAAATCTTTAAAAAAGAAAAGAAAAACTCACAAAAAGGAAAGGCCTGATTATTTTCATTGAGATGAATTATATAAAATTCTAATACTAGAGAATAGCACAGAATCCAGCACTCAGAAATAGCTGTGACTTACGAGTGGACTTCAACACGTTCATGGAGAAATGGGACCAAAACATACGGATAAAAAACATAAACTTCATTTCTCAATGAAAGCCCCACCAACTTCAAGACATTTTGTAAATGATATGGCAGCCATTTAGTCCATCCCAAAGGAATTGAGCATCCTGGGAATTATTTAAACAAGTCGATGCAGTCTTTCTAAAATTATTAATTGAAGAAAAATGTGTGCCCTATGAAGAGTCTTTAAGACTGGGAAACAAAAAGAAGTCTGAGGGAACCGGATCAGGGCTGTGGGGTGGGCGTGAGGGTTTCCCGGGGGACTCCTGCAGCGTTGCCCTGCTGGGTGAGGGGACCAGCAGGAGCTCTGTCGTGGAGAAGCAGCGCTCTCTGGTGAGGCTTCCTGGGCGTTTTTCTCAAAACACTCTCCTAGTAAGCAGATGTTGTCGTTCTCCAGAAAGTCACACCCAAAAACACCACTGCCGTGGTCTTCGCTCTGGCCTGGCTGCTTTTGTGCTGGCTGCACAGCTTCCGCCTCTCGGTAGCCACTGCTTCCCTGTGCTTTGTTGTCAGGATTGTACTGGTCATCTCCAGACACAATTCTTGGGAGAAATGCTTCAGGCTCTTTTTACAAAAAGATTGATTTACTTATTTGAAAGACAGAGTGATGGAGGGTAGGAGGAAGGGAAGAGGAGAGGGTGACTGAGACAGGGAGGGAGGAGAGGAGGAGATCTTCCAATCTCCTATCTGCTGGCTCACTCGGCAGATGACTGCAGCAGCAGCTGGGGCTGGTCCTGGCCAAGGCCAGAAGCCAGGAGCCCCACCTGGGTCTCCCACATGGGGGGCAGGTTCCCCAAGCACTTGGGCCATCTTCTGCTGCTTTCCCAGGCACATTAGCAGGGAGCTGGGTTGGAAGCGCAGCAGCCAGGATTCAAGCCGGCACTCCAGTAGGGTATGCCGGTGCCAGCATTGCAGGCTGTGGGTTTACCCACTGCACCACAATCCCGGTCCCACGTTTCACGATCTTGATCCCAGTTAGGATTCCCATTGGAAGCTCTGCTCTTATCTGCAGCTGATCTGATTCAGCTGTTTTGGCACTCAACAAGTAGAAATTTGCTCCACTTTAATTTCAGAACTGTGTGAACCGAGCCAGCGGAGATGTCACCAGTGTTGGTCATTGTTTCTGCTATTAACCGTCTATCCCCCTAAATTAGGATATGAACAAGATTAATTTTTTTCCTTGAAAATTAATGTGGACGGTCTGCACTGCAGGTTTCATTTGCACTGGTGTCTTCTCCCTTCTTTTATTTATTTATTTATTTATTTACATGCAGAGTGGACAGTGAGAGAGAGAGAGAGAGAGACAGAGAGAAAGGTCTTCCTTTGCCATTGGTTCACCCTCCAATGGCCACCGCAGCCGGCGTGCTGCGGCCGGCGCACTGCGCTGATCCGAAGCCAGGAGCCAGGTGCTTCTCCTGGTCTCCCATGCGGGTGCAGGGCCCAAGCACTTGGGCCATCCTCCACTGCACTCTCGGGCCACAGCAGAGAGCTGGCCTGGAAGAGGGGCAACCAGGACAGAATCTGGCGCCCTGACTGGGACTAGAACCCGGTGTGCCAGCGCCACTAGGCTGAGGATTAGCCTATTGAGCCACTGCACCGGCCTTCTCCCTTCTTAAAATAAGTTATGTTTGCAAATTGCTGATTTCTCTCTCTTTTTTTTTTTTAAGAATGTATTTACTGAGGTCGGTGCTGTAGCATAATGGGTAAGGCCACTGCCTGCAGCTATATCCCATGTGGGTGCCGGTTTGAGTCCTGGCTCCTCCTCTTCCGATCCAGCTCCCTGCTAATGCACCTGGGAAAATAGCAGAAGATGGTCCAACCCCCTGGGCCCCTGCACCCACATGGGAGACCCAAAAGAAGATCCTGGTTCCTGGCTTTGGATTGGCCCAGCTCCAGCCATCACAGCCATCTGGGAAGTGAACCAGCAGATGAAAGACCTCTCTCTCTCTCTTTGCCTGCCTCTGCCTCTCTGTAATTCTGACTTTCAAATATATAAACAGATCCTTATTATTAATTTATTTATTTGAGAGTCAGGACTACAGAGAGAGGAGGAGAGACGGAGAGAGAGGTCTTCCATGCACTGGCTGACCCCCCAAATGGCTGCAACGGTCATGGCTGGGCCAGGCTGAAACCAGGAGCCAGGAGCTTCTTCTGGGTCTCCCACGTGGGTGCAGGGGCCCAGGGGCTTGGGCCAGGCTCATTAGCAGGGAGCTGGATCAGAAGTGGAGCAGCCAGGACTCATACGGGTACCCGTATGGGATGCTGGCAGACGGCGGCTTCACCTGTTGTGCCACAGCACCAGCCCCAGTTGCGGCTCTCTCTGTGGTGTGGTCCGCATACACCTTTTGTAAGGCACCAGGAGGTCTCCTTCTCCCGTCCAAGCTTCCCCGCAGATCTGAGGTTTGCGCTTGCTTCAGTTGCTGTGGAAGGAGCCTTTTTCAACTGATGTCCTATCTTTCTCGGTACCTAAAACTACATCCTGTTCAGACACTTTGTAGGAAGCTGATGTGAGTTTATTTTGGTGCAAAAAAAAAAAATGAAATCCATGCATAGTTTTTTCATCATATGCATTTTCGTGAACTTCTGGAAGACCTTTCCTAGATACAGTGGGACTTTGTGCGTGGGAAAACAGAGTTTTAAAATAGTTTATTTTGGTGCAAAAAGGTTTTTCATAATATATGGGAAAATGTATTAGGAAAAGACTACACATGGATCTCAAAACTTTTTTAATGATTTATTTTATTTTATTTTATTTGAAAGGCAGAGTTACAGAGAGAGAGAGGGAGAGACAAAGAGAGACAAAGACAGAGATCTTCCTTCTGCTGGTTCATCTCCAAATGGCTACAACGGCCAGGGCTGGGCCAGGCCAAAGCCAGGAGCCTGGAGCTCCGTATGGATGTCCCGCATGTGTGCAGGGGCACAAGCACTTGGGCCACTTTCCACTGCTCTCCCAGGTGCACCAGTAGGCAGCTGGATTAGCAATGGGGCAGCTGGGACTTGAACCAACACTCGCATGGGATGCTGGCCCTGCAGGCTGCTCCTTAACCCGCTATGCCGTGCACCAGCCCCTCAGAAGTTTTTTTGCACCACGATAAATTCACCCTTTTAATTGCATTGCCACGCACTCCTTGCGGTGCCCTCGTGTTTCGGCAGCAGCCTGCCCGTGCTTGGTGTTTGGCGCTAGGCCGGGCGTGCTGGCTGAGGGCAGTGATGAGCACCCACTGGGAGCTGTAGCTCCCAAGTCCCTTTCCCATGACATCATTTGATCCTTTCATCACAGCGGGTTCGGAATTATTATCCCTAGGCTGCAGGCAGGGATGCAAGCCCAAAGAAATGAAGGGGTTCCAGGGCGCACAGCTGTCGAGTGCAGAGCTGGGGGTAACCCAGGGCACCTCCTGAATGTCCTTCCCCTAAATTTTAGAAATACTGAAACATGATGATGCCTAAGTGCCGCCCTCAAAGAGGTTACGTTCTTGGTGGATTAGAACTTGTATAATCAAAAATAATTAGAAACCGATGCAGGACACAGACTCAGCTGCCCAAAGCCCAGCTCCGATGTGAATACAGAGTGTGGCGGGGTCGGGGTGACATTGAAGAGGTTGTACCCCTGAGGTCTTGCAGCTGATCAGGTTGGGGGAAGGGGATCGGGAGACAGAGGACTCTGCCCCGGGAGGCAGTGGAAGCCGTGGGGTGGCGCCCAGACGAGGCGGCCCAGGCAGGGAGAGCGAGCACGTGGCTGCGGTTAGAGCCGCACGGAGGCATGGGTGGCAGTGCCGCGGCGGCGGCCGTGACGACTCCATCTCCCAGGTGCGCCGTCACCGCAGCATCCACGAGGTCGACATCTCCAACCTGGAGGCGGCCCTGCGTGCAGAGGAGCCCGGCGGGCAGGCGTACGAGACGCCGCGGGAGGAGATCGCCCGGCTGCGCAAAATGGAGCTGGAGCCGCAGCACTACGACGTGGACATCCAGAAGGAGGTGGGCGGGGCGGGAGCGGCCGCTGCGGGCGGGCCCTGGGGCGGTGCGGGCGCTGACCCCACCCCTCCACAGCTCTCCACCCCAGACAAAGTCCTCATCCCTGAGCGGTACATTGACCTGGAGCCCGACGCGCCCCTGAGCCCCGAGGAGCTGAAAGAGAAGCAGAAGAAGGTGGAACGGATCAAGACGCTCATTGCCAAGTCCAGGTAACGGCGCTGGCGAGCCTCCCTCCCTCCGCTCTCCCCGGCCCCTGGGACACCCCGGGGCCCGCGAGGTGGCGGGGGCGCTGGCCTCTGCAGCGGCTCGGGGCCCGCAGACTGGGCCCCAGCTCCATGCAGGCACGGGGCTGCTGCAGCTGCCAGGTACCAGAAGGACCTGCGGGCTCGGGCCGTAGCCTCATCCAGACCAAGCCGAGGGGTTGCCCGCCGCTGGCTTCTCGTACCCTTAAGGCTGCCCTACGTGTTCGCTAGAACCTCTTAATTCGTTGGAAAACACTAAGGGTAGGGATCCCAACTGTGTGTCGCCAGGGTCTCCTCCCTCCTAGGGACAGCCTTGCCGGGCACCAGAGGCTGCCCGCTCACAGGCCCTGGCCCTCCCCGCCAACCTCAGTGCACAGGTGCCCCCCCAGCCAGCTGGACCATGCTGCCCCCTCCATGTCTGTGTGTCTGTGCCTCTTCAGTATGCAGAACGTGGTGCCCACCGGCGAGGGGGACTCTCTGGACGTGCCCCAGGACTCAGAGAGCCAGCTGCAGGAGCAGGAGAAGCGGATTGAAATCTCCTGTGCCCTGGCGACCGAGGCCTCCCGCAGGGGCCGCATGCTGTCTGGTGAGAGGGGCTGGGCCTCGCTCTGCCAGGGAGACCAGCTGCCCAGGTGTAGGGGAGGAAGCACGGCGCTGTGCCCGGGGGCAGGGCCAGAGGCAGGGCCAGAGGACCGGTCCTCCAGGCGAGGGTGCGCAAGTGCGGAGCACCAGGTGCTGTGCTAGGCTCTGAGGGGCACAGAGGAGGCAGCATTGCTGACATCCGGGGTCCTCACAGCCAGAGGCCACGCCAGCAACCCAGGGAGCCGCTCTGCCCGGCCAGGGCAGGACCAGGGACAGAGAACAGGCCACAGCTCTGCTTGGTTGGGCACGATACAAGCAAGCACCAGAGAGAGCCAGGGATCGGGGCATCTCTCTCTTCCCGTGCTTGCCGCGTGCAAAGCTCAACAATAGGGAAGGTGGTACCTGCAGCCAGGGAGCTGGGAAGGAGGCAGCGGCCGTGCTGGCTGCCAAAGCCACTTCCTACTAAGAGCAGCTGCGTGTGAGGCCCCAACGCCAGGTGCGTGCCAAGGTCCCGAGTGGCCACTGGCAGGGTTGGCGTGTAGGGGAGTGTCTGCACAGCCGGAGATGCACCATGGCGGCAGAGATGAGCACGCGGCTCTGAGGCGTGGGAGAGCTGCTGTGTACGTGGGAGGCCAGAGGGCAGGGAAGACTGGCTGGCAGGGTTTTGGAGCCTGGGACACTGCCACACCCAGAGGGGCCAGGAGGGAGAGGGAGAGGAGGGACTCGGGGGGCCACAGCTGAGAGAGTGACCCAGAGGTGAGCCGTGGTTGGAGATGAGTTGGGCAGAGAGGCCGGACATCTAGGCCACAGAGTGGCCTGGGGAAGAGTCGCCACCAGCAAGTGAGAGCCGTGGCTGGGAAGGGACAGTGGACGTGGAAGGGACAGTGTCTCGTGGGCGATCAGGGAGGTTCAGACTCTGGTGCTCAGAGGCTCCCTGCCCTCATCCGTAAAACTCACATCCCAACACCTGCCTCACTTCCGGTCGGGAGGGCGGGAAGTGATGGTTGCACCCAGCACGGTGCCTGGCGCCTGGTTAAGTCTCAGCACATGCAAGCCGGCCGCAGCGGGAGCGACCTTAGTTAGCAGTGGTCGCGAAAGCTCAAACAGCAGTAGCTGAAGGAGAAACAGGTCCCATTTGTCATTTTCCTAGTTACTGCAAATGAGGATGTTTGCTGAAACCAGAGAGTTTCAGGCTGCAACAAGGGGCGTTGATGCCAGCCCTCAGGGGGACCCAAGTGGCAGCCGGGGTGTAGTCCCCAGTAGAACAGGCAGCAGAGAGCCCCTGTGGGCTCTTCAGAGAAAGGCAGCAGTCTGACTGGAGTGGAGGGGAGATGAGAGATGGCTCCAGAGACTGGCATCCTGCAGCCCAGAGCCCGCAGGACCAGGCTGCCTGCGAGGAGGGAGGCCTCTGTCGGACTCCCCGCAGTTCAGCTGCGAATTGAACTTGAGCTTCCAGAGATCAAATTCCACCTGCTCTGGGCAGAAGGGCTGGAGCCTGCAGTGCTGTTTTGAAAACTGGGCTCTGCCGCTGCCCCCACCCAGCCCCTGGCTCTCCTCGCCGCCGTGGGTCTCCAGCCCAAGGCTCTAGGAAATCCAACCAAATCACATTGCCCTCCGTACACATGGCTTACATTTCAGGGTCTGGGTGCCGAAAGCAGCCACTTTGCTTCTGCCAAAACCCCAGCTATTTAAAAAATGGCTGTGGCCAGACTTCACCCTCCACCCGGTGTCTCCACTGCCCCTGGACCGTGGCCCAGATCCCCCGAAGCAAGGGCTGTTTCCAGACATGTGCTGTGCAAGCATATGAGTGCATGCCCGGGACGCCATGTGCGGGGGAACACTGGGCACGGGTCACCAGGAGGACACAGAGTGAGGAACCTGAGTGCGCATGTGGGGCACAGACATGGTCATCAGTGAGGAACACGTTCTTGTGTGTAAATCCACCTGAGCCAGGTGTGTTCCCTGTGGGCAGATGTGGTGCTGGAGTTTATGCGTGTGGCATGGGTGTGAGGGGCAGCACCTTAGCTGGTAGTGTTTGTAGAAATGCATGGTTTGTGTGTGTTCAAGTGTGCAGTGGAGGGAAGCTTTGAGCTCAGGTGTTGGAGTGTGTGTGCGTGTGTGTGTGCGTGTGTGTGTGCAGATGCCCCAGGTGGTCCCTGGTGAGCTGTTGGAGCGCAGAGGAGCACACGTGTGTGGGCCACAGAGGGGAGATGGCTGGAGATGGTGTTTGTGAGGGCACGTATTCATGTGAGTGGTTTTCTGTCTTACAGGGAATCGGAGGCATATTTGTGTATTGATCATATTTTGTGTGTATGTATCTATCTTGCAATATTAGGTGGGGTTTTTTTTTTTAAGATTGATTTATTTGAAAGCCAGAGTTACAGAAAGAGGGACACAGAGAGAGATCCTCCATCCACTGGTTCACTCCCCAAATGGCCACAACAGCCAGGACTGGGCCAAGCTAAAGCCAGAGGCTGGAACTCCATCCGGGTCTCCCCACATGGATGCAGGGGCCCCAGCACATGGGCCATCTTCCAGTGCTTTGCCAGGCACATTAGCAGGAAGATGGACTGGAAGTGGAGCAGCCGGGACTCAAACCGACGCCCGTATGGGATGCTGGCGTCACAGGCTGTGGCTTCACCTGCCGCACCACAATGCCAGACTCTACAGTATTTGCGAGCAAGAATTTGTGCAGGAAGAGAGCAGGCAGGCTCGTGGCTGTGTGTGTGTGTGTGTGTGTGTGTGTGTATTTGGTGGGTCTTATAACCACTCACGGTAATACCGCATCTTCCAGGATACACCTGTGGCATGTATGAATTTTGACTATTTCAAAGACATATTCCTAATATTTAGCATTTCTCTGCCTTCTTAATGAGGTTATGTCTACATAGTATTTTTCTTCCCCACTTAGTGTCCCTTTAAATATTTTTCTTTTGCTGCCTCCTGTTAGAGAGATGCCCTTCATGGCTTCAGATGGTGCAGATGTAGTTGTAGCTATGCTGAATGTCCCCCAGATGTCCACTTTCAAGGTTGTTAGGCCTACCTTTTACAAAAGAGCTTCGCTTTTCAGGGCGGGCCTCTTGTTCAGGGCCTCTCAGCCTCATCTGTCCTCAGTTGTGCGGTTTCCAGTCTCCTGCGGGCCAGGCGCCCAGCAGGTCTTCTCCTGGGGGAGCCGGCTGTGACCATCAGTGGGTGGAGTAAACCAGAAGAACCTCATCACAGGCGTGTTGTGACACCTGCTGTAGCATTGTTGAGCTGTTCCTTGCTTGGCTCCTGATTTATTTTTTAAAAAGATGTTTTTATTCAAAAGATAGAGTGACAGAGAAAGAGAGACAGGGAGAGAGACAGACAGAGAGATCTTGCATCCGCTGGTTCACTCCCCAGATGGCTGCAACAGCCCGGGCTGGGCCAGGCTGAAGCCAGGAGCCAGGAGCTCCCTCCTGGTCTCCCACGTGGGTGGCCTGTGTACTTGGGCCACCTTCTGCTGCCTTCCCAGGTGCATTAGCAGGACACTGGGTCAGCCAGGACTCGAGCCAGCACTCTGACATCAGATGCTGGCATTGCACGTGGCAGCTTAATTCACGGCACCACGACGGCTATCGATTTTTGGACTGTCTTGGAAGTTGAGGTGGCCAGATAACAGACCACTGGGTCAGCGATGTGGTTTGCACACGGATGTGTGTTTCGAAAGCGTCTGTGGATGAATCTGCACGTGCACGTACGAGCGTGTTGGGTTATGTGGAAGGGCGCAGGCTGGAAGATCCCCAACATGCCCACTTCCGTGTTGTGTGCAGTGTGTGCTGGTCCCACACACAGACTGCCTGACATGTGTGCAGAACAACCCCACGTCCATGCAAGACCCGCGTGGGTCATGTGCACGAGTGGCCTCAGGTCCAAGAGGGTGACAGCAGGCACACCAGTCCTTTCTCTTACACAGAAGGCAAGAAAAGTGATGAGGTCCAGGGCAGGATGAGCAGCAAGGGACTGGGAAGTTCAATGTCAAAGTCCTCAGTGGAATGGCAGTGTGACCTGGCTAAGGTCTGGTTCTTCTCGGGGCCAGGGTGAGCACACCCTCCCTGCCCTCCTCCTGCCTCTCGGCTACATAGAGGATGCCCGAGGGCTGGGGACCGCCACGAGCTTGTCCCCTTCTCATGTCCTTCCACTCTGCTGTCGTCAGCATGGGCCGATAATGATAATAGAGTAAAATCTCATTAACCCAAACGTCACCACGCCAAGGCTTGTCAGGCTCTGTGCAGGAGAGGCTGCCGTCTCCTCTGCTGATGGAGGGAGAGGGGTCTCAGGCACCTGCGGGGAGCCCTGGACAGTGAACAGAACCCAAGCCCCTGTGTTCATGGAATTGACTCAGGCGCGGGCTCACGCACGTCCACCTGCTATCGCATGGGGGACTGGTGATTCGGACTAGTGTGATTTTACTGCGCTATTGATCATTATGCTTCAGGCCAGCACTGTATACGGAGTGCCCCTCCCCACCGTGTCCGCACAATACCGAGAGCTATGTGTCCCTCCCATTGTGTGGAAAGGAAGGGGGTCTTGGGCCCAGAGAGGCCCCGGCCTCACCCACCGTTACACTGCCTCTCAGTGGAGCCTGGCTCTGGCCAGGGCTCCCCTGGGCCCTTGCCCTCCTCCATGGTGCCCGCCTGCCCGCCTCAGGGTGAGGACAGCTTTGCCCCCGCTGGAGCAAGCCCCAAGCTGGCTCCCCTCTCTGCTTGCCTCCCCGCCTCGCTGCCCGCCTGGAGGAGGGGGCCTCGCTTGCTCTGGGTGCCCGCCCTCCTGCTCCGGCCCCATTCACATGCCTGTTCATTTCTGTTTCCAGTGCAGTGTGCCACCCCAAGCCCTCCCACCTCCCCTGCCTCCCTGGCTCCGCCAGCCAACCCCCTGTCGTCTGAATCCCCACGGGGCGCCGACAGCAGCCAAGCCATGCGGCTCTGAGCTCTGACGTAAGCACTTTTCTGTGTTTCATCCACCCTGGCACTGGGTCCCTTGTCTCACGCCCATTCCAGCTTCTCCCCACCCCCAGTGCCGTGTGCGCTTTCCCCCCCTCCGTGCGTCCGTGTCCATCCATCCACGCTTGAGCTCAAGGCCAGCCGGCGGGGCTGCTTCTTGGATGTCGCGATGCCCGTGGGCTTTGCTGGTCCCAAAGCAGACGGGCAATAGAGCTGCCGTCTCGCCTGTCTGCTGGCGGGGAAGCTGCTTTCCATCTGCTAGGACACACACAGCACCCCAGCAGGACCCCCAGAAGCCCCCAGGAGGTGTCTCTCTGCTCAATGATCTCGCCCTGGAGCCCAGTAACACCGGAGAGCCTGCGCCCCAGGCTGTGGACGCCCCCGCCCTGGGGACTGAGGGTCAGGAAGGAGAGGGACACTGACCTCTAGCCCTCGCCCCCTCTCTGGGTGGAGGGAGTGGGTGGGGCCCCCAGCCTGGTCCTGCAGGTGCGGCTTCTCTGTCCCCAGGAAGGTGGCGGGGGGCGAGGCCGCTGCGCACAGCTCTCTCAACCCGCTTCTCCTTCCCCAGTGCAAGCCCTGGCTGAGGCCAATGCTGCGAAACTCCACAGAGCCACGTGCTGAGGCTGTCCTCTGCCCGCCGGAGGTGCCGGCTCCCCACCCTGGCCCCATGCCCCTGCGCTCCCATGGGGCTTCCCCAGGGAGCCAGGCTGGGGCCAGGAATGCTGCCAGGAAGAACATGGACGCCCGGTGTCCACACACCCACGGCACGCGACGCTGACACCCTCGCTGCTGCTCATGCCGTGGTCCTGGGCCAGGCCTGAGATGGCGGAGTGGGAGCGCCATGCTCTGTGACGCCCAGGTCACCGGGAGCCTCAGCCTGGCTCGGCTGGGGCTGCGCTGGCCCTACTGGAACACTCCCTGGGAGCCACCTGCCCTCAGCTGCCTTGGTCAGGGCAAGAGGGGAGAGGAGACCAGTGCTGTGCCTCTCGGAGCGGGGCCTGATGCTGAGGACAGCGCCGGCCCCACCCTGCAGCCCAGCCGCCCCAGGGCTTTGATGCATCCCAGCTTGGGGGGAGCTCCCCGGGGGTCTGGCGGAGACTAAGCAGCCTGCCTGAGCCAAAGACCAGACGAGAGGATGACAGGCTGCCAGCCCCAGAGGGGACAGTGCTGGCTGAGGACTGGGGACAGCAGGTCGGGCAGTGTCTGAGAGCGGGAGTAGCAGGGACAGGGACAGGACCTTGGAGAGTAGAGGGTGGGGACAGAGCCAGAGACATTTGCAAGTGATGAGGGATGGAGGGATGTGGCGAGGATGATGATGGGATTGGTTTCCCAGGGTGGAGCCTGGGCTTATTCCAAGCACAGGGCTGGAAGGTCACCCCCACTCCTGCCGCCTTGGCCCCAGCATCGGCAGGGCCCCAGCTGGGGGAGGGGGAGGCGGAACCACAGCCTGCGGCTGGTGCTGTCTGGGTCTGAGCCTGGTGTTCGCGTCCCCAGCCGGGCCAGGGGCAGAGAAAGGGAGCTGTGCTAGTAGGGTGCAGTCAGCCACGGGGTCCCCCTAACCAGCCTGTGTCCCATGCGCCCTGGAGTGTGTTCATGGAGGGGAGGGGAGAGGAGAGGAGCGAGGCCAGGCTCCCTTGACGGTTCACGTCCAGCCAGAAGCAGGCCCTGTCTCCTGGCCCCTTGAGATGCACGCAGCCAGGGAGGAAGACGCTGGACTCCTTGGCCAGAGCTGCTGCCCGCAAGCTTCAGGCTGACCTCCAGTGGCTCCGAGAACAGCTGCTTTATCTCCTGCTAGCTCCTCGCCCACCCTCCATCACGGCTGGGGCGGTTACTGGCTCACAGCACGGCGAGGTGGCAGGTGGCTCAGCCAATAGTGAGAGACACCGTGGAGCTCCAGGCACTGTTGGGGTGCTGAGCGAAAGGCTCCCCTGACCTTCGACCTTCACCTCTCCCAGGCTGTCCACGCGGCTCTGAGGCTGCAGCCTCTGCCCTACAGATGACGGGGGAGGGGCCGGCCTCCGGTCCCGTCTCCCGGCACCCTCCTCCTGCCGCAAGAAACTGAAGTTTTCAGGGCCTTCCACGCCTCCCCCTTCTTCCTCCGTCTCCTTTTTTTTAAGTGACATTTTTAGAAATACACGTGTAATATACCAAGAAACCCTGTCTTCGTCTCCGCCACCTCTTATTCCATAAAGCTGGCTCTTTATGTTGCTTCACATGCCTTAATATATGTTTTGTGGAGATTCTACACATTGCAGGTGTCTGTGTAATGTTAGAGAGGCGTCGTCTGGATGTCTGATCCTTGCCTTCGGCCCCGCCCTTCGTCACTCCTGTGCGTCCGATGCGGTTCCTGGCATGTCTTCGCCGTCCCCCTTGCCGTTTTGATCCAAAGAAGGGGAGAGGAAAGACTTATTTTAAGACAGATCTATTTTATGCTTCTGTTAGAAAAGCAAATCTATTTTCAAAATGTGCAATGTCTGGATGGGCTGGGCAGAGGTGAGAAGAGACGGGGGTGGGGGTGGGGGTGGGGCGGCTGCCTCGGGGTCCCTACCCTGTGCCTTTCTGTCGTCAGCAAAGGGCTGGCCCCCCCCACCCCGGCTGGAGCTCTGTGCTGGAGCCAGGCCGCTCCTTTGCAAATGTAAGGAGGTGATGACCCTGGGGGGGACGCTCTGGGGGTGGGGGGTCCCTCCTGAAGCAGATGTTTACAGTCAGATGCAAAGGGGCAGCCACACCCCCACGGCCCCTGCATGGCCTCCTTCCCCACCCTGCCAGGAAGGGCAGCCAGGATGCCTGCCTGCTCCCGGCTGGGCCCACGGTGGTGCAAAGGCCGGGGGAAGCGGCTTGGGACCCGCTGCGCTGTCCCCGGGCCTGTGGCACAGACCCGTGGCGCTCCCGAGCCGCGCGCCTTCTCTTCCACCCCACCCCTCCCTGTCTGGTCTCCCTCTGCGCTGTTGTTGCGGGCTGGCGCCTCGGGCTGGTGTGCAGATGGTGGCTGAGGAGGGTCCCGTGGACGATGTAGCACCTCAGCCTCGCCCAGGGAGCCCCCAGGACTCTTCTGGGGCAGGCTAAGCTGCCTTCCAGACTGCTGCTCCGCCGTGGGCGAGGGGGCTGCTGCCTTGCAAGGATTCGGGGCAGGAGGGCAGTCTCTGTCCAGATCTGAAATCCAGAGTCTGGGGCTGGCCTTACAACCCGGGCGCTCCCTGGCACCCTGCTCCCGGCCTAGGGTACAGGCTGCTAGGGGTGGACATAACCAAGGCAGAGGCCCAGCGCTGAGGACCCCCCACCGGCGGGGAGCCCCAGTGAGTCACCCAGGGCTTCTCCAGTTAGCACATACCTCCCTGATCACCCACCGAGAGGCTGCCCTCAAACCCTGCTACTGTCACTTTAAAGATTTTATGAGGTCGCCAGCCACGCACGTGCGTGGTCTCCTGCCTTTGTGAGCGGCAGGGCTGAGCACAGCGAAATGGAGTCCATTCCTTTCCCTTTATCCACCTTCCACCTGGCAGCTCTGAACACTATGGAAAATATTAATATATATATATATATATACATATCTCTATTTATGCACATACGGGGGCCAAATCGACTTGCTAGTGTTAGACAATAAAACATGCAAGGAACTGTATGATCTCAATGTCTTTATTTAGTATGAAAGTGACCTTAGAAGACGTCACGGGTAGAGGAACTGAGGGGGCAGGACAGCCACAGCACCCCTCGGCGTCGCTCTGCCGGCCACCCTGTCCCCCGAGAGGACGAGTAGGTGACATTCCCCACCGCCTCTCAGCAGCACCCCTTATAGACTGAGACACCGGAGAATCCCAGTGAGTTCTGCATTTGTATCTTGCAAGTTTGTAAAAACGCGAGACGGGAAATAAAGTGAGCGGTTTGTACTCATGTGTGTGTGTGTCACACTGTGTCCATGGCTGCCCTGGAGATCCATGGCAGTGAGGGCTTGGTGGGAGAGGGAAGCGGGATGGGGGACGGGCTGGGCTGGGCACAAAGCCAGTCCCCTTCGTGGCTCAGCCCCCGTTACCCGGCAGGCATCCCCACCAGCTGGGGATGGGGATGTGCCACCTGTGCCTGGGCAGCGCCACGTTCAGTCCAGGTAGTCGCACACCAGGGCTTATCTCATATAGCAGGAGCGTCGGATGCCCAGGCCCCGGGACGCTTGTTGGTTCGAGATGAGGGTGGAGTGGTGGGAGGGGCAGTCAGGGCCCAGGCTTTCTGGGTGAACACACAATGCCCCGTGTTGCTGCGTTAGGGTGCAGAGGGAACCCCCACCTCCGGAACGACTGCCCAGTCTCATCCGGCCTCAAGCCGTTGGGTTCGTTTCTCCTGGAAGTGCTGGGCGGTCCTTGGCACCCTGGGGAGGACCATGCCGGGGCTTTGGAACCTGAAGCCTTACCTTGAGGAGTGAGAGCAGTGGGCGCTGCAGGCGGGTGGCGGAGGGAAGAGAGAGCCGAGGGCAGTGGCAGGCCCAGCCCGGCTCCCGCGGCTGTGCCGGGGCAGGGGAAGGGAAGGCAACCTCTGGTTCCCAACAAGCCTCAGTTTGGTTTCCATGGCTGATGCTGGAACCCTGGCCCCGTCCTCTCGGCGAAAGGGCTACTACAGCTGTGTTCGCTGGTGACCAACAGTGACTGTGTTTCAGTTCTGGTGACACCTCTAGGCACCTTAGCGAATCCGGGAGAGGTGGGACCAGGCGTAGGCTCAGAGAGAACTGGCCACCTGCTGGAGCCTGGGCCAGCACCGGGGCTTGGGGAGGAGTGGACAGGCGGCCACAGCCCGCCACTGGGCGTCGCTGTACCGAGAACAAGGGCTGGCCCCTCCCCCAGGGCGGGGCCTGCAGGCCGCTGCCCGCTCCACCCTCTACGCAGCCAGGTTGTGTCTGGGAAGGAGGGGCCAGGGCGGGAGAACCTGCATTAAGAAGCGAGGCGCGGCCGGCCTGAGATGGGTGCTCTGGGACTCCGCCAAGGGTTTCTTGATCCTTTTTTGTAACTGAAATCGGGACCGAGTCATTGCTGTGTCCGGCCTTTTATTTAGTTGGTTTATTTATTGGAGAAGCAGGCAGACAAACAGACGGAGCCCTCCCATCTGCTGGTTCACTCCCGCAAATGCGTATAATGGCTGGGGCTGCGCCAGGCCGAAGCCAGGAACCAGGAGCCAGGAGCCATGTGGGTGGCCGAGGCCCGCGCACTTGAACCATTAACCTGCTTCCTCAATTTGGGATGAGAGGTAACAGCCCATCCACAGCCCGCTAACCATGGTCACGTGACTTACAGCTGTCACCCTGGGACAGGGTGGCTGCCGTGGCTGCCACTGGGACACCAGTGGCTCTTCAAGCGCCGACTATGTACCTGGTGCCCGGCACTCACCGTGAGCATGTGATCTCTATGCCATAGGTACCGCTATGCTGCAAGAGCCTGGGACACGGCACGGGGAAGTAAGGTATACGTGGGCTCGTGGAGCTAGGAGAAAGCCCAGGACACTTTGCTTATATTTATTCTTTATATTTTTAAAATATCTTAAAGGCCGAGAGAGAAAGGAGAAAGAAATACAGAGAGAGTCTCATTCTCTGGCTCACTCCCAAATGGCTGCAATAGCCAGGACAGGGCCAGGTTAAAGCCAGGAGCCAGGAGCTCCATCTAGGCCTCCCACGTGGGTGGCAGGGGCCCCCAGGCCATCATCTGCAGGTGCACTAGCAGGGAGCTGGATGGGAAGTGGAGCAGCCAGGCTCGAGAGGGCCCTCTGAACTGGGGTGCAGGCGCCCCAAGCCGTGCCCTGTCGGTAGCTTTGGGTGCATTGGCTATACCACGTGCAACCTTCAGTTCTGGGCAGAGGGGACGCCACACAGGGACGCGGGCTCCCGCAGCGCTGACAACCACTGCTGGGCACAGGCACAAGTCGCCGGCGCCGTCTGCCTCTCCCTTCTCAGGCCCACTGGGGAGGAAGGAAGCGGCCAGGCCCGCAGGGTTGAGGGAGGAGCCAGGCCTCCTGAGCCGTCCAGCCCAGGCCAGCCTTGCTGTCCCAAGCGGACTTCGAGGAGGCCAAAGCCCTCTGTGCCTTACCCGCTCCGGGCGCTCCATGCTCTGCTGAACCTAGCCTGGCTCCGTTAGGGCAGCTGCAGTTGCTTATCGCCCCCTAGTGTCTGCTAGTGGTGCTAGCCCAGAGCAGGGATGTAGGTGCATGGAGGAATTGCCGTAGGTGCCTACATGCCAACTCTTCCCACAGCCTCCACCACACCCAGCAAGGAAGCGAAGCACCGTCCGCCCCCTGCTGGCCTGTGGCTGCTGTGTGCACTCCCAGTGGTCTACAGGAGACCCGGCTGGGGAGGGGCGGGGCGTGCAGAGGAGGCGGGAGTCCTGCGGAGAGCAGGAGGAGGGAGCCATGAGGCTCAGAGGCCCTTTGGGGGGGGAGGGTTAATGATTCACCAGGGGCTGCTTTCACAATTGCCAAGGGTCAGCTCCCTGGGCACTGTGGGAAGGCCACTGTGGGAAGGCCCCCGGGCAGCCGGCGACATGATCTCCATCACCGAATGGCAGAGTGAGTGCAGGGGCCGGGCGCTGGAGGGAGCTGGCCCGGGCTGGGCGGGTGGAGGTGAACCCTAGCAGCCCGGCTCTCCTGCCGCACCTGTGGCTGGGGAGCCTGTGGCTGGGAGCTGCCCTGTCGGCTCCCGCCCGGCAGCAGGCCCATGGCGGGTGTGGCCGGCTCTCCCGCGGCACCTGCACCCCGACCCCTGCAGCCAGTGGCTAGGAGTTGCCGTGTTGGCTCTGCCGGCGGGGGTTGCTCGGGGCCCTGGCAGGTTCAGTGGCCGAGCTCACCCCTTCCCGTCCAGGGCCCCCACAAACCCCCGGGGTCTCCTGGGCCCCCTGCCTCTCACTCTAAACTTCCTTCCCTTCCCTGGGGGGGAGCGGGCAGGGAGAGGCCTGGCCCTGAGGGGACGATTCGTGCCGTTCTCTGAGTGCACTGCCCCTCTGTGCCAGGCAATGTGTCCCCTGCTCGAAACCCAGGGGGAGGGCATGGGAAGCTGCATGACAAAGAGCTCAGGCCCGATGTCAGGTGGGAGCGGTCCTGGGGACAGGGAGCAGGAGGGAGCTGGGGTGGTGGGGGAACTGGGATCGCTGCTGTGTTCAGAGCAGTCGGGGCGGGCGTCTCTAGAGAGACCGCCAGGAGGTGAGGAACCAGAGCCCTGCAGGTATCTGGAGGGGAAATGTTGTGGGATGAGGAGACAGCCCGTGCAAAGGCCCTGAGGCTCGCGAGCAGGCCGGTGTGGCTGACTGAGTAAAGGGGAGAGTGACAGGGGCACAGGCCAGCGAGGTCACCGAGGGGTCAGGACTGCTGGAGCAGGTTAGGCCATGGCGGGACTTCGGTTTTCTCCACCCAAGATGGGAAATTGCTGGAGGGTTTTGTGCAGGAAGTGCGTGATCTCTTTCTGTTTGTTTGAAAGACGGCTCCAGCAGCCAGGCTGTAGAGAGGTGAGGACAGTGGGGAGCCCAGGGAGGGGCGGAAGTGCTAGAAGAGACAAGAAGCCTCCAGCGCTGGCCTGGGTGGCGGGAAGGTTGAGCAGGGCGGGCGGAGCCTGCTCTCCTGTGATAAGCGGCCAAGGTGGACGCCAGGTAGGCAGGTGAGCACAGGTGAGCACAGGAGTCTGAAGTGCGGGACAGAGGCAGGGGGAGGGGGGGCCAAGCTGAGAGTCCTGCAGCTCCCCAGGGACCAGAGTGCCGACAGCGGGGGGCAGGGCCGGGCTTCTGCCCACCGCGTGCCCAGAGCACCTGCCACTGCCCGTGGTGGCAATTGAAACTGTCTCCACACGGCGGCGATGTCCCGGGAACAAAATCACCTCCTCTTCTGTCCCATCGAGCGCCACTGACCGCAGAGAGCTGAGGCCTCTGCCGGCTACCGCAGGTCACCGCGCCGCAGCCTGGAGCTGGGGCCGCGGAGAGAAGGGCGGGGCGCATGCTAGGTCGGGGAGCACGAGGAACATGGTCAAGGCGGGAGGACCGTTGTCCCTGGCCACATGTGAAGAGCCATGTGCTCAGAGCACGGAGGGCAAGGCGGATCGTGTCTGGAGAAGAGCTTGGACCAGCAGGCCGAGGCCCTGTCACGCAGGGCCTGTCACCACGGGGGAGATGACATGGTTTTGGGGTTTCTTTTGTTGTTTTTTTTTTTTTAATTTATTTTAAATGCAAAATGACAGAGAAAGCTGGAGAGACAGAGAAAGGTCCTCCATCTCCTGGTTCACTCCCCGAATGGCTGCAACAGCCAGGACTGCGCCAGGCCAAAGCCAGGAGCCAGGTGCTTCTTCTGGGTCTGCCACGTGGGTGCAGGAGCCCAAGCACCTAGGCCATCTTCTACTGCTTTCCCAGGCCGCAGCAGAGAGCTGGATGGGAAGCAGAGCAATCAATGGCTTAACCGCTGCACCACAGTGCGGACCACAAGAGGGCGCTCATCCAGAGCAGAACATGAGTGTGCGTGGTGCCAAGATCCCTGAGCAGTGGGGAGGCCTCGGGGCGACTGAGTGAGGCAGGAGGTGGGGGCTGTTGCAGGGCACTGACAGTGGTCAGAGCGGAGCGTCTGGGGGAAGCTGCGGGCTGAGGGAAGGAGGCCCTGCAGAGCCCAGGATGCCTGCGAGGGCAGCGTGTGGACACGGCGGCAGCTGCGAACTTGGCTCAGAGAGAGGCCTGGGCTGCACAGAGCAGTGTCCACGTTGTCAGCACACGCGGAGTCTTTACAGATGGGGGGTGCACTTGCAGATAGCACGGGAAGAGAAGTGGGCTCGAGCCAGGCCCTGATCCCGAGAGGAAGAGAGCAGCGGGAGCTGGCAGAGGAGAGGCAGAGGGCGGCTCCAGGAAACCCGTAGAGAGCTACATCAGCAGGCAGTGCTCACCGCCGGCGCA